ATACGTCGAGGGTCTCTATTCTACCTCTGTCTATTAGGCACCAAGGAATGAATGTTACTAATATGTTGTATTTTTTTTCTGCAGATATTTTGTGATGCACAGGTAAAAGCATGTATATTAAGATGTGTTAGCATATTGGTATGCATTTGGATTTTGAAAGCTATTGCTGACTTAAACCCCAGAAATGTTGCCTGAACACTGTGACTTTATTATCTCCTTCTTAAGTATTTTTTGGTACATAGAGAATCAAGAACTCTCCAGATGATTTAACTTGGTCTAAATTTTAAACCCATTTGAAAAAATTGCACTCTCAGTAGGGCCTTAGAAATCTTCAGCTTCGTTTATACATTGGTGGGTGCTTGTTGTTACAGTGGTCTCATTGGCCCTGGTGCTTAGTGATTTGAGAGGTGGGGTACCTGCTGTTACAGTGGTCTCATTGGCTCTGGTGCTTAGTGATTTGAGAGGTGGGTGCTTGTCATTACAGTGGTCTCATCGACCCTGGTGCTTAGTGATTTGAGAGGTGGGTGCTTGTTGTTACAGTGGTCTCATTGGCCCTGGTGCTTAGTGATTTGAGAGGTGGGTGCTTGTCATTACAGTGGTCTCATCGGCCCTGGTGCTTAGTGATTTGAGAGGTGGGTGCTTGTTGTTACAGTGGTCTCATTGGCTCTGGTGCTTAGTGATTTGAGAGGTGGGTGCTTGTTGTTTCAGTGGTCTCATCGGCTCTGGTGCTTAGTGATTTGAGAGGTTGGTGCTTGTTGTTGCAGTGGTCTCATTGGCCCTGGTGCTTAGTGATTTGAGAGGTGGGTGCTTGTCATTACAGTGGTCTCATCGGCTCTGGTGCTTAGTGATTTGAGAGGTGGGTGCTTGTTGTTACAGTGGTCTCATTGGCCCTGGTGCTTAGTGATTTGAGAGGTGGGTGCTTGTCATTACAGTGGTCACATCGGCTCTGGTGCTTAGTGATTTGAGAGGTGGGTGCTTGTTGTTACAGTGGTCTCATTGGCTCTGGTGCTTAGTGATTTGAGAGGTGGGTGCTTGTTGTTACAGTGGTCTCATTGGCTCTGGTGCTTAGTGATTTGAGAGGTGGGTGCTTGTTGTTACAGTGGTCTCATCGACCCTGCTGCTTAGTGATTTGAGAGGTGGGTGCTTGTTGTTACAGTGGTCTCATTGGCCCTGGTGCTTAGTGATTTGAGAGGTGGGTGCTTGTCATTACAGTGGTCTCATCGGCCCTGGTGCTTAGTGATTTGAGAGGTGGGTGCTTGTTGTTACAGTGGTCTCATTGGCTCTGGTGCTTAGTGATTTGAGAGGTGGGTACCTGTTGTTACAGTGGTCTCATCGGCCCTGGTGCTTAGTGATTTGAGAGGTGGGTGCTTGTTGTTACAGTGGTCTCATCGGCTCTGGTGCTTAGTGATTTGAGAGGTGGGTGCTTGTTGTTACAGTGGTCTCATCGGCTCTGGTGCTTAGTGATTTGAGAGGTGGGTGCTTGTTGTTACAGTGGTCTCATCGGCTCTGGTGTTTAGTGATTTGACAGGTGGGTACCTGTTGTTACAGTGGTCTCATCGACCCTGGTGCTTAGTGATTTGAGAGGTGGGTGCTTGTTGTTACAGTGCTCTGATCGGCTCTGGTGCTTAGTGATTTGAGAGGTGGGTGCCTGCTGTTACAGTGGTCTCATTGGCTCTGGTGCTTAGTGATTTGAGAGGTGGGTGCTTGTCATTACAGTGGTCTCATCGACCCTGCTGCTTAGTGATTTGAGAGGTGGGTGCTTGTTGTTACAGTGGTCTCATCGACCCTGGTGCTTAGTGATTTGAGAGGTGGGTGCTTGTCATTACAGTGGTCTCATCGACCCTGGTGCTTAGTGATTTGAGAGGTGGGTGCTTGTCATTACAGTGGTCTCATCGACCCTGCTGCTTAGTGATTTGAGAGGTGGGTGCTTGTCATTACAGTGGTCTCATCGACCCTGCTGCTTAGTGATTTGAGAGGTGGGTGCTTGTTGTTACAGTGGTCTCATTGGCTCTGGTGCTTAGTGATTTGAGAGGTGGGTGCTTGTTGTTACAGTGGTCTCATTGGCCCTGGTGCTTAGTGATTTGAGAGGTGGGTGCTTGTTGTTGCAGTGGTCTCATTGGCCCTGGTGCTTAGTGATTTGAGAGGTGGGTGCTTGTCATTACAGTGGGCTCATCGGCTCTGGTGCTTAGTGATTTGAGAGGTGGGTGCTTGTTGTTACAGTGGTCTCATCGGCTCTGGTGCTTAGTGATTTGAGAGGTGGGTGCTTGTTGTTACAGTGGTCTCATTGGCTCTGGTCCTTAGTGATTTGAGAGGCCCAGGATGACAGAGACTCAGGAACTCCCCAGAGCTGGGCAGCAGCAGAACCCAAGCCTAGATATATGGCTAGCTCCTAGAATTGAAGTGAGGTTGGATCATGGCATCTGTCTTGGTTACAAGCTACACTCAAACTGGTTTAGGCAAGAAAGAGAATTTATTGTCTCATGTGACTGAAGACTCCAAAGTTTGGTTCAGGTTGTTGCTCCAAAGCTGTCTTCAAGAATCTCTCTTGCCTCTTAGTCCTTTGTGTGAGGAAATAACTACATTCTAATGAAAGTCAAGTTTGATATGTTCATTTTGAAAGTGCTGTTGGGAGAGTCGCTGGGTTGGTTTGTTTGTTTTCATCAATAGCTGTTTGTAGTTATTTCTTCTTTCTATCAGGTTCATTTTTAGACAGGCTGCCTTTCAATTAAGGCCACCAGAACCTTCAGGCTTGCTTTCTGCTCATTTGTCAGTCTCAGCCAAAGAGGAAACCTCCTCCCAATAGTTCAGTACAAGTCCTCCTAGTGTGTCTTAGCGACTGACTTGGGTCACATGTCCTTTATGAACCAGTTAATCACTAGAGCCAGAAGAATGGAATGATCTGATCGGCAAGACCCTGGCTAGGATTTAGCCCCTGGAAGAGGGTATGGGACAGAGTCAGAAGAATAGAATTATCTGAGTGGCCAGAACCTGGGGAAGTGTTAGCTCCTGGACCTGGGGGTTGGTGAAGCGATAGAGAATGTGTTTGTTACAGGGGTGTGTGTCTGTCCATCTGGTGTTCACATCATCAAATCAGGTAGACTGAGGGAGAGGAGGTGCCTTCTCAAAGGAAGACTGAGTGATTCTCAGAAAAAGGAAGAATGGATACTGGCCGGCAAAAAAGTAATTCTGATTTGTTGGTGGTTTTCAGTTTGCTTCCTTATGCTTTCAAAGAATTTTGAAAACCTGTGTACCTCTCTGCATGTGTTTAAGTTGACATCTGGAATTTTGTATAATTTTTACATTGATATTTAAAAAGAAAACTGTTATTTCATGTCTTTACTTGTATTTAATAGAATGGAAATGATGCCCTCCAACATTTCTGTGACTGTAAGGCTCTAAGCATTACTGTTTTTTCTGGATTGAATTATTATTAATTATCAATATGGAGCTTATCAAAACAACATAAACATAGTAAAATTTCTATAATTGTTAAACATAAAAATAGAATTCTGGGGAGAAGTAGGTAGGGGGTGGATTATGTGGTGCCTTTTAAGGGAGGTTTTGCAGGTGTCAATGTTAATTGTCCTTTGGGTTGATAACCTGGAGATCAGGAGTTTCTACCTCCTTTGGGGCAGTATGCTGTAGTTACGCTGTGTCACCATATACTTGGTGACTTCAAACAACATCCATTTATTAGTTCTCTAGGTCAGTAGAGTGACATGATGGGACTGAGTTTTCTGCTCAGTGTCTTGTAATGCTGAAATCATGGTGTTGGTTTTGGCTGTGTTCTCATCTGGAGTTCTGGGCCCTCTTTTAAGCTCACATGGTTGTGGCAGAATCCAGTTCTTTGCCATTGTTGGATTGAGGTCCCAGATTCTCTGCTGGTTATTAGCCTGAGGCCGCTCTGATTATTAGCCTGAGGCTGCTCTCAGCTTCTGCAGGCCGCACACATTCCTTTTTCTGTCTCCTGTATCTTCACAACCAGCAGAGGAGAATTTCTTGTGCATGAAACCCCTCTCATACTCTAATGCCTGATCTGTAGAACTTTGACCTTTAGGACTCAGGTGATTAGATCAGGCCTCCCTGGATGATCTCCCTATATTAAGGTAAACTGATTTGGGACCTTTGTTTCATTTGCAAAGTTTCATCACAGCAGCACCTAGACTGGTATTTGATTGAATAACTGGGAAAAGGTGTGGATGCACAGCAGGTCAAGAATCTTAGGGGCTTTGAATTCTGCTTACCAAAGTGAGAGTCTCCATGGGTAGGAAATAAGACTTAAAACATTTTTTGTAAAGTGGGAGAAGGGCAGTTGCCTTTTCAGGAGGTGACTTTTGGGAAAGCTTACATGTGGAAGTGAGATTAGGTACTGATTCATTGAACTCTCTGTGCCCACTTAAGTCTTCCTGTACCCCCAGGGACATACCTGTTTCATTCTGTAAAAAGTCGCATCTGTGACCAGAGATATCTTGATACTCGTCAAACAGATAAATCAGAGCAGCAAATGGAGTTGGCAGCCAGGGAGTTCGGGCTAGGAGGGTGGTAACAGTGACAAAAACAGCCCCTGATGCCAAAGCAATCACTGCTTTCATGTCCTGTCTCCAGGCAGACTTTTCTTCCGGAAGAGTATTTTGTTTCCTCTCAAAGAAATAAAGAAATCTGAAGTCACAGCTTGATGTTACCCTTACAGCTGTAACTGTTGCCTAGTAACCAGATTCCCCCTCTCCCTGCTTGTTACCAAGGAGAGGGGAGAAAGGTAGAGAGGAGCGCACTTCGGAACCTCTTGAAAGCTATCGTCCTTCCCACTCCACACAGGACTCCCTGCTATAGGGAGTTGGGCGGACCACCTGAGGCTAGCAGTTCAGGCTCCGCAAACAGAGGACCCTGGTCCTCTTGCCCTGGGCTGCTTGGGAGAAGACTGAGAAGAAGAGCACTCATGGGGACATCTCCTTATGGAAGGAACCATGACCAACCCCCTTTCTCATTTTGGCCTTCCCTAGGACAAACGGAGGATGTGCAGATGCTCCTGCGCTTTGGAGCAGACCCCACTTTGCTGGATCGACAGTCTCGGTCTGCCGTGGATGTCCTGAAGAGGAATAAGAACTTCAAAGCCATCGAGAAAATCAACAGTCACTTGGAAAAGCTGGCTGCGTGTTCTAAGGACCTAGCAGGTAGAGCTTTCAGTGAATTAACTTTTTGGGGGATAAAACTGGTTTTGTGATATTGATACAAATCAGTTTATCTCTTCTCGGTAAATATATATATATATTTGGAAATATATATATATATGAAAATGAGACCTACCAATCTTTCAAAAACTTTTTTTTTTTAAAGATAGAATGAGACACCTCTTATTTAGAGAGATGCTACGTCATTCTGGGAACTTTTCCAAGTCCACCTTTGGACAGTATGGGTGATTTTCTTTTCTATGCACGCACACACATAGAAAAAAAAATTAGAATATGAGATAACAAGATAGCATGGGGAGAAATGCCAGATATCGGTGAAGGGGAGGAAGGCAGCAAATCACACTGCCACGTGTGTACCTATATGACTATCTTGCATGTTCTTCACATGTACCCCCAAATCTAAAATGCAATAAAAAAAAAAGAATACGAGATAACAAAAATCAAGTCTATTCTTTAGAAAAAATTATAGCCAACAATTTAAACTTTATATATATCTATATCTTGATTTATCAATTTGGGACAGCATCTGCTGACAAGATGTGGAAAAGTTGAAGTCCTAGGCGATGTCAGTCCTATTTGCTGGATTTTGTCTAGTAATGCTATTTGTATCATTTATATTCTGTTTCTTAAGTTTTTCATGCTTCATTTACAGATTGATTCTAAAAATTGAAAATCAGCAAATGACATTTGCATGGTAGTGTGATTATGTAAATGTTACTCTTTCTACAACTAGTAACATGGCCAGACCCATAGAAAAGAATCACCAAGGCCGGGCACGGTGGCTCACGCCTGTAATCCCAGCACTTTGGGAGGCCGAGGCGGGTGGATCACGAGATCAAGATATCGAGACCATCCTGGTCAACATGGTGAAACCCCGTCTCTACTAAAAATACAAAAAATTAGCTGGGCACGGTGGTGTGCGCCTGTAATCCCAGCTACTCAGGAGGCTGAGGCAGGAGAATTGCCTGAACCCAGGAGGCGGAGGTTGCGGTGAGCCGAGATCGCGCCATTGCACTCCAGCCTGGGTAATGAGTGAAACTCTGTCTCAAAAACAAAAAAAAGAAAGAAAAGAATCACCAAATGTCCTCAAAACTTTGCTCTTTAAATGTGATACTCTTTAAGCATCTCAGTTTTATGAAACGTGTGCATGTTTTTATACTTCTTGTAGTTCTTGCACTCATACGTGACTCCTATGGCTAATGTTTTCCACATAGATTTCCTTCTTGATATGTTGGAGTACCTGGTCAAGTCAGTTTTTCATGGAGGAGGGATAGATAGTAGACTACAGAATTTTCGAAAATGTCTTTCTTTTATTCTCATATTGATGGATAATTTGTCTGAATATAGGCATTGTATTTCATTAAGGGTAAGTTACACTCCCCTCCCTGATTTTAACATCTTTGAGATGGGAACAGTGATGTGTCATCGTTTAATGGCAGCCTTTTCTGGTATGTTCCATCAGTTTCTATGGTATCTTAGGTTTATGAAATACACTGTAATACCTTGTTCCTCACAACTTGTATAAATTATTTCATTATCTCTAGCCCCCATTGCTGCTGATAGAAGTCTGATGTCAGTCTCATTTTTTCCCCCTCTAGAATTTTCTGTCCTTGGAGTTCTGAAATTTCCCTAGTAGGTAGCTAGACATGGGTCCTCCCTCATTCTTCTGGCTTGGTACCTGTGGCCTCTTGCTGTCTGTTTTCTTAGCTGAGGGAAATCATCTTCTATTATTTTGTTCCCCTCCAAGTCTCTTTCCTCTTTGCCACTACTATTAAATGCATGAGCTTCTTGAATTTATAATCTATGTCTCTGTACCTTTCCCTTCTACTCCTTTTTGATTCCCAAATCTTTAAATTGGTCTAAAACTTCTGCTTTTATAATTCAGCTTGTCCATTGCTGCATTTTTAAATTTGGAAGATCACGGTTTTAATTTCTAAGAACTCTGTTCTGATTGTCTCTTATCTGTAGCAGCTATGCATGCTTTTTATTTGCCACATCTTGAATTGCATTTGAAAAAGCAAATAATTAAAAAAAACTTTCTTATTTCTTCCCTGAATTATCTGAATTATTTATGTTACTTTTGGGGTGAGTTGACTCATAATTTTTTTTTTTTTTTTGAGACAGAATCTGGCTCTGTCACGCAGACTGGAGTGCAGTGGTGCGATCTCAGCTCACTGCATCCTCCACCTCCCAGGTTCAAGCGATTCTCCTGCCTCAGCCTCCCAAGTCACTGGGAATACAGGCATGTACCACCATGCCTGGATAATTTTCGTAGTTTTAGTAGAGATTGGATTTTGCCATGTTGGCCAGGCTGGTCTCAAACTCCTGACCTCAAGTGATCCACCTGCCTCGGCCTCCCAAAGTTTTGGGGCTGCAGCAGTGAGCCACCTCTCCTGGCCCGACTCATTTTCTTGCTTCTCTTTTGTGCTGTTCTTTTCCCGTAATTATCTTCTGCTCTTTGGATGGTTTATGATTGATGGACTAGATTGATTAATACTTAATAGGTGGTTAGCATGCATTTCCTGCAGTTATTTAAATGTGCTTTTCTAGAAACACTCCTTCCCTTGAATGTGCAAGTGGGCAGCAAGTTGCAGGCAACCTATAGAGGGCGTGTGTTGGGACGGGAGATAGTCTGCTAGGCTGTGGAGTATTGCAGTTGCCAACCAAAGTGAGAAAAGCTTTATGTGAGGGAGATTGAAGCTGCTGGTGTTTTTTTTTGTTTTGGAGATGGAGTCTCGCTCTGGAGTGCAGTGATGCGATCTCGGCTCACTGCAACCTCCTCCTTTCAGGTTCAAGTGACTCTCCTGCCTCAGCCTCCGGAGCAGCTTGGGACTACAGGTGTGCTACCATACCCGGCTAGTTTATTGTATTTTTAGTAGGTTTCACCATATTAGCCAGGATGATCTTGATCTCCTGACCTTGTGATCCGCTTGCCTCGGCCTCCCGAAGTGCTGGGATTACAGGCGTGAGCCACTGTGCCCAGCCTGCAAATTTTATCTTTTGTTATTTTAATCTTAGTTCTTAGAATATTGTGTATGTTCATTTAGTGTTAAAGTCTTTAGCATAAGTCATTGATGTTGGTTTAGTTTTTAAGGTTTTAGTTTTATTTTTTTTTAGTTTCCTTGTATAATAGAATCTTTGAATATCTGTTAATCCTAAAAATACCTCATCTTCTGAGACAAGGTTCTTGCTCTTGCTTCTCCTCTATCTTCTTCACCAGTTAAATCTGTGACCTGGGTTTGGAATCGAGAGACTCAGTAGAATCGTAGTGTGTCCCCTTTTCACTCATTAGAACTCACCTGTACTTGCTTGGCAGAAAAGCACGCAGAGAGGACTGTGCATCACTCCAGGCTTGCCATTTGGTTCACCAGGTGGCCTGTGATGCTAGTGGATGCAGTCAAGCCGAAAGCCCTCCGTACTCAATGGTAAACTTGTTGGATGTTAAAAAGCTGTAAAGTTTTCCAGACCATTGGTCACACAGATTTTCATGCCATGCTAGAAGAATATTGAAAGATTATTGAGAAACATGAGTGAAAGGAACTAGTGAAAAAAAATCTATAAAGAGGATAAGTTAATCAGGAAGGGCTGGCAAGGTGCAGTTGTATATTTCCCAAAGTATTCTAGGCAGTGGAACGTTTTTTTTTTTTTGAGATGGAGTTTTGCTCTTCTTGCCAAGGCTGGAGTGCAATGGCACGATCTCTGCTCACTGCAACCTTTGCCTCCCAGGTTCAAGCGATTCTCCTGCCTCAGCCTCCTGAGTAGCTGGGATTACAGGCATGCACCATCACCCCTGGCTAATTTTGAATTTTTTTAGAGATGGGGTTTCTCTGTGTTGGTTAGGCTGGGCTTGAACTCCTGACCTCAGGTGATCTCTCACTTCAGCCTCCTAAAGTGCTGGATTACCGGCGCAAGCCACCGTGCCTGGCCCAGCAGTAGAACTCTTGGAGAAGCCAATCTCTAAATGTGATCTCTGTAAGTGAAGATCTTTGAATGAAATTGTGTACTGAATATCACCATTCCTTTATACATCCACAGAGTTGTATGGAGTTATATGCATACATTTGTTTCGAAGATTTTACTGATGGCACAAATAAAACCTAATGTGGGGCTGTGGGACCTTTCTAGACCAGGTCTGTGAAATATACTTTTCTGAGATGATGAAAATGTTCAGCTACCTCTTCTGGTCTGATATGGTAGCCACTGGTCACATGTGACTGTTGAGCAGTTGAAATGTGTGTGGCTCATGTATCTGAAGAACCAGAAATTTAATTTTATTTAATTAACTATAATTTTATGTAAGTTAATGGCCACGTACATGATAGTGTAGCTTTAGACTTTAGCTCCAGAGCAGTAGCTGAGGAGACTGCGGGAGAATCAAAAGAGGAGGCCCAGGTCCATGGGAATGAGGGTGGATCTACTCTGTTTTTATGGACCTTAGTCCTCCCCCATCCTAATCCATTAAAGGGACAGATGGAAGCATTTATTATCTCTAGGAAGAGCTGCTGCTAGGGAGATGCACCTATGCCTGACATCTGTTTTTCACATCTATGGTCCTGAGTACAGTAACATTAGGATATGAGTTGTTTTACATCTACATGAATGAACATTCCCGTTTACAGACTGTGATGAAGAGACCTTTCTTCCATGACTCTTCCTAAAGTTTGCTGTACCCCATTTTGCTGATAATAGCAGTGCTCATCTCTTAGGATGGGGCTGCTTTTAGAGAAACAAAGGGTCTCGCTAAAGATTTCTGCTGTTCTCTAAACCAGTGTTTCTCCACCTGAACATGTACATGAATCATTTGGGGGCCTGCTGAAATGCAAATCTTGATTCAGCAGGTTCAGAGAAGGACCTGAGATTCCGTGTCTCTCACTCCCTGCCAGGGCATGCCAGGGACCACTTTGAGGAGCAAGACTTTAGTCCTAAATAGTCGAGATTAGAGAACTGCCTTTAGCCAGTTTTCATAGCCACCACCAGAGGGCAGCATGTCCACTTTCTCTAGCTGCCATGGCTGCTCAGTTTTTTCCTTAGGACCAAGAGCTGCAAGATTGGAAGCTTTGCTTTCCTCACTGTTGTTTGTGATCTTCTCTCCGATTCACTGGTTCTTGGCCCTTTCGAGTCCCTCACATCAGGCCTCCAAAGCCGCCTCTCTCTGGTCCTCAGGTGGGGAGCCAGCTGCTTTCTGGCGGGTTCAGCACCAGGACAGTGCCTCTTCAGTCAATGCACGCTTGGGGTATTGACTTAAAGGATGTCTGTCCTATTTCTTCCTTTTTACAAAACCAGTTTTTAAAAATTCATCAGTAATTAGAAAATGTATGAAACATAGGAAAGAAACTATTAATTCTCTATAATAGTACCTGCCAGGAAAAAATTACTGTATTTGTGATGTGGTCATTTAGTCTTCTTCCATGCATTTCTAGTTATATATTTATATTCTCTTTAATAGAAATGCAATGAGAATGTAAGTTTAACATAAATATGTATAGTAAAACCTAACAGTTTTGCTTTTTAAACCTTATAAAAAGATTTTGGAACAAAATGAAATCTATTTTGAAAGTAATTTACTTTATATTACTTCTGACTATGGTTGCAACTTCAGAAGAGCATTTTAATTTTTAATTTCAAATCTTCATGTATACACAGTAAGTCTTCTCTTAATGTTATCAACAGGTTCTTGGAAACAGAACGAAAATGTATAACGAAACCAGTTTTACCTTAGGTTAATTGATAACAAGAGTTAAGTTCCTGGGGCATATTTTTGGTCACAAAAGCATTAGCAAACTTTTAAATAAAGATCAAAACACCTCTAATATTAAACATGGAAATAAATATGAGCCATACATGCATTTAATAAAGGCCGGGCGTGGTGGCTCATGCCTGTAATCCCAGCACTTTGGGAGGCAGAGGTGGGTGGATCGCGAGGTCAAGAGATCGAGACTGTCCTGGTCAACATGGTGAAACCCCGTCTCTACTAAAAAATACAACAAATTAGCTGGGCATGGTGGCGCGTGCCTGTAATCCCAGCTACTCAGGAGGCTGAGGCAGGAGAATTGCCTGAACCCAGGAGACGGAGGTTGTGGTGAGCCGAGATCACGCCATTGCAAATCCAGCCTGGGTAACAAGAGTGAAACTCTGTCTCAAAAAAAACGAAACGTTAATAAAAACGAGTAAGGTATTTACCCAGTTATTCCAGTTCAGGGTTGCTGGTGGCCAGTTTATTCTGGCAGCTCAGGGAGCCAGGTGGAAGCCAGCCCTTGACAGGATGCCATTCAGCTGCAGGGCTCACTCACACATCCACACTCACTCGGACTGGGACAACTGAGACCTGCCAGTTCACCTGCCGTGCCCATCTTTGGGGTGTGGGAGGAAACCAGAGTACATAGAGAAAATCCATGCAAACATGGGAAGAACGTGTCCGCTCCACGCATTTGCCCTGGCGGGGACTCAGTTTATTTTCTCATCGATGTTATAATGACACTCTGTTGAAGGAAATGTTATTGAAGGCCCTGCTGTATTTGCTAAATGTGATCATTGTTGAAAATTTGTAAAAGTACGGTTTTATATAAAAACAAATTCACTGTGATTGCATGTTAGCACATTCTTATTCAGTCTTTTGTTGTTCAGTACTTACATAGTCATCTTTTTAAGAACTCTTGATTATAATGCATAAGAAACTTTGTTTCCTGATGTTTCCTTTGATTCTTTTTAAGCGTATAGGAAATTTAGAAACAAAATCAGAAAAGATCAGTGAAGTAAACAAGTCCCCCGCAGCCCTCCTACCCAGAATACCAGTTGGCAGCATTTAGCAAGTTTCCATCTGTATCATCCTCTGATTCCTTTCCTGATGTTTGAGTCTTTTGCTCATCTATAACTGCCTTCTTAACAAGTCTGAACCATGTAATCATGTATTTATTACGCAGCTGCATCTAATTGTCTCTTTTGTTGAGCTTAGTATGTTTCTGTTCATTTTCATAAGAGTTTTTCACTGAACTTATTTTCCTGGAGGAAGAATGACGTAGCTGCAAAGCTTTCATCAGGCAGACAAGCAGCAAGTTTCCATCAGCTTGATAGTGAAGGAAGTTTCTCTTTTACCGAAGGTCTGATTTTTTTTTCTGTACTGTGAGTTTTTATCATTTTTTTTGTGTCTTCATAGGTATTTTAGGCTAAAGATGGCAGGGCAAAGTCCAGGGATGCTAGCCAGATACTGCTTTACTACACACGTTTTCTATCTCAGTGAGCTTCCAGCCAAGGTGATGTGGACTTTGTTTGCCGAATGATTATCATTTTTGTTCTCTGGAGGATGATGCTGTAGTGGATCCTCCTTCTGCCTGGTACCTGAACATCTCTTGATTAGAGAGGGCAATGAGCATTTGCCCCAGAAGTGGATGTATGTATGTTTCTGGTGTTCTGGCTTGATTTACTGAAATGTGATTCAGACGTGTGTCAGAAGGTGTAGCAGATGTCGGAGTTCTGCCTGGATCCCTTTGAACCCCTTTTACCGTTTCTGAGGGCCCCCGACACTGGGGTGTGCAGTTTGAAAAGCCAGCACCCAAGGCTTGTTTTCAGGGAAGTGTCTTTGGGCTTACAGAGCCTGTTCTGCTCATGCTCCTTTAAACCAGAAATATCTGGGAATTTCTATTGTCCCAAGGCAGTCTGTCGCTAGTAACTGATAGATAGATGCGAGAATATGAAAGCCCATTTCCTTTGCCTTGCATAGGGACAACTCTGAAGTGTGTGTGACTCATGCTCCAGAACCTTCCTGTGGGATAAGGCCAAGGCCGTCCTCTGTGGGACTTTGCCTGAGTGCATACCTGGGCATGGCTTCCTCTATCACCCTTATTCTGCTTCTCCTACTCCCCTACTGGTCTTCCTCCTACTTGCATGCAAATCTAGTGTCTGCTGCCGGGGAACTGACTGAAGGATGCTTTCAACTTTTTTCCCATTTTCAGGTAGTCTGTCTCTTGCAAAGTATTCCCACTCTGGTAGAACACGATGTTGGCCATTCATTCATCTCTTCACAACCATGCTAGTGTTACTCTGGGCCAGGCTCTTTTCATTTAATGTGAAAATAAATGTCCAGTTCTGCTCCCTTATCTGTTCAGTAAGATTCCATTTTAATTAAAAATAGTTTTTGATACCTAATAAAAAAGTTCGTCCTTTTTCCCAATATTTCATCAGTGACTATTTTCTTTCTTCCTCTCTCTCCCTTTCTCTGTCTCTTTTTTTTTTGACACAGGGTCTTGCTCTGTTGCCCAGGCTGGAGCGCAATGGTGTAATCATTGTTCATAGCAGTCTCAACCTTCTGGGCTCAGGTGATCCTTCTGCTTCAGCCTCCTAAGTAGCTGGGACCAAAGGCATGTGCCATTACACCTGGCTAATTTTTGTATTTTTAAAATACATGTATATGTGTGTATATATATGTATATGTGTATATATATAAACACACACACACAACACACGCACGTTTTGTAGAGATGGGGTTTTGCCATGTTGCTCAAGCTGGTCTTGAACTCCTGAGTTTAAGCAGTCCGCCAGTTTCAGCCTCCCAAAGTGCTGAGATTACAGGTATGAGTCACTGCTCCCAGCCAGTAGGTGTTTTCTCATCATGACTACTTTATCAAATAAGTTGAGTGAAAAAGAGATGGTTTTTCCTTTCTTGGCCAGAGAGATGGCTTCTTACTTGGCCTTTTATATTTGCAAATAAGACATAAAAGTTGGGTGGCTGACATGTAGTTGGATGTTGCCGTTGTGCTAGGCCCTATTCTCCTGTCACTCCCTGAATTGTTGTATCAGTTATCTGTTGCTGCGTAACAAAAGACTCCAAATTTAGTGGCTTAAAACAGCAAGCGTTTGTTTAGCTCCTGATTCTGTGGGTCGACACTATAGTCTGGTCTGTTCCTACGGCCTTACTTGAACTTCTTCAAATGTCTGCAGTCTTTGGAGATGTTGGCCGGGTTCTTTCACATCTGCAGGGCCTCAGTTTGGACGACTAGGCTGATCCTCCCTGCTCTGTGTTGTCTCTTATCTCTCAGCAGGCTAGCCTGACTTGTTTACATGATGGAGGCCAGAGCCTCAAGAGAGTCAGCAGAAGTATACAAGGTTTCTTGAGGCTCAGACTCAGAACTGGCACAAAAATCACATCTACTGGGCCGGGCGCCGTGGCTCACGCCTGTAATCCCAGCATTTTGGGAGGCCAAGGCGGGTGGGTCATGAGGTCAAGAGATTGAGACCATCCTGGCCAACATGGTGAAACCCTGTCTCTGCTAAAAATACAAAAACACTAGCTGGGCGTAGTGGTGTGCACCTGTAGTCCCAGCTACTTGGGAGGCTGAGTCAGGAGAATTGCTTGAACCCGGGAGGCGGAAGTTGCAGTGAGCCAATGTCGTGCCACTGCATGCCAGCCTGCTGTCTGGTGACGGAGTGAGACCCTGTCTCAAAAAAAGAATAAAAATCACATCTACTGCATTCTGTTGATCATAGCAAATCCTGAAGCCAGGCCAGGATCAGGGGAGGGTGGAGGGGAAAGGGGTTCTACTTCTTGATGGGAGGAACAGCAAAGTCACATTGCACGGCATGTGAATATGTGGAGGGCTGGAGGTTGTGGTTAGTTTTGCAATCTGTAACAGCTGCAATTTCTGTTCAGAAGCATCACCTAGTGCTGTTTTGTAGGATTCAGCAATGGTGATGGACCCACTAGTGAAAACGACATTTTCAGGAAGGTCTTGGAGCAGCTGGTGAACTATGTGAACTCCGGAAACCGGTTATTGCAGAAAAACTTTCTGAAGCAGGAAGTAGTTCAGAGGTTCTTGCGCCTCCTTTCTACTCTGCAAGGTAATTTTTTCCAAAGTGTTCAATTATGTTAAAGATGATTTATGTTCATTAAAATTCTTTTCTAATATCTTTTCAAAAATTAATTTTAAAAAATAAAGGTAATGTATCTACAGGTAAAACATTCAGATAGCAAAGAGCATTCTTTGTTGTAAAATTTATTACGTATCCCTGAACTTAATCCCTAAATCCCATCCCCAGGAGCAACCTGTTACTAGCTTTTTATGTGTCCTTCTAGAATTTCTCTTTGCATATACAGCCATTTAAAAAGTACTACAGCTGTTTCTGTCTTCTGTAGATACTGGCTAATGTTGCAGTATGTAAAGTTATTGTGGAATTGAATCTTCTTTTCATCATGGGGAAATCAGGAAACTTCCTGAAAAGAACTTTAGATAACAAAAACTTAAATAATTTGGGAAGATTCTAGAAATTCTAAGTAGATAAAATTTAGTATTTTTAAAACTGACAATTCATAAGACTGAGTTGTCTCAATTTTACAAATTTTATGAAGAGTGCAGGAAGGCATGGCCAGAGACGAAAAAACTCAGGGTATGCAGCAGATGATTATATTTAAGCCTTGGAGTTTAGCATTCCAGTACCAGATTTGTGTCCTTAGGCCAATTACTTAACCTCTTTAAGCTTCGGTTTCTTCATCTCTTGCCTTGGCTAGGGAAATAACCTCATGAGATAATGGATATAGGACACTTATTCTAATGTCCTGCACATAAAACGCTAGTACTTGTTAGCTGTTGGGATGCGCTGGGATGAGGCTAGGTTGTCATCCTTTCTTCCTTAGGTATCAGTGAGTCAAAGATAACCAGCATACCTGTTACACACACTCTAGGATGGGGCCGCTTTCTGTTAGATGTAGACATTCTGTACAAACCACATCTAGGGAGCCTTTGGTTTTTGGACTTAACGCCATTTGCTCTATGATCCCTAAAGACTGTCCTCATTTATACTTAGGGTTGTGGAAATAACATCTTATTTAATTGGATTTGGTAAAAATCTCATAAGAGCACATGCAATGGGGATGCTTCTCCAACGTCCTTTGTGTCTTGTGGCCTGTGTTCCTGTGCCTCCTTTGTTTCCCGGGAGGGTGTTGTGTGTGTGGGTGTGGATTTCTCTTTCTCTCGCTTCGGCCTGGTTACTTTCCCTTTTCCTCTTAACTCCTTACTCTCTGCACCTTTCTTGAAGGCCCTCCCTCAGCTGTCTTCCAGAGTTGAGTGGGTCTCTAATCCACCCAACCTTTTTGACTTTTTTTCTGTCTTCACTTTTCCTTTTTTCCTCCTCTTTGTATTTATAACTGGCCATAGGGTAGGATATTTATAGATCTTCCTATTGAAAACGACAGACTCAAATGGGCTAAAAATTGGCAAAAAAGTGACTTTTTGGCTCTCATAATAAAAATGCCAGGCTGGCTTCAGGGAGCTCACCAAAGTCACTAGGACCCATTGTCTCCTGCCTTTCAACTCAGCTGTCCGCCAGTTGGCTGCCAGCTCAGACTCTGTGGAGATGAGACTGGGGTCTCTAATCTCTGACTTGTCCTGCGTTTCTGGACTTGTGGACCCATCTGTTTCTCTCCCAGTGGTTTGAACAAATGTCCTGGGCCTCACTTTTGATCACATTGTGTACCTCTGTTCCTAACTGTGATCAGAAGAATGGAGATGCTTGACTGGCTTAGGCCTAAATCACATGCTACTCTCTCCCATCCCTACGTCAACGGAGAGTGCCGGAAGGTGGGAGAGGGCTGTTCCAGAAGGTGAGCAAATAGATTCTGGGGGACAAAAATTGCAAATGCCTATTTAAGTAGTTTGCCTTTTACACTTTTATTCTGATTCCTGTTAAAATAAGATGATAGACTAGCCTATATTTAATTTCTTCTTATTTTAAAATGAACATTTTAAATATTAAAATGAACATTCATTTTAGAAAACTTGGAGAAAGATGAGAAGCAAGAACTAGCAAATGCAAATCAGGTTGCTCTTATTTAGGTAATCCTTGTTTTTTTCCCCTTCTGCTCTTCCTCCCTGCCTTCTTACTGGTAGGGCTGCCAGACAAAATACAGAATGCCCTGTTGAATTTAAATTTCAGATCGGCAACGAATAATTTTTTAGTATAAATATATCCCCAAATATTGCATGTGTATACTTACACAAAAATTTATTTGTTGTTCATCTAAAATTCAACTTTAATTGGCATCTTATGTTTTTATTTGCTAAATCTGGCCGTCTGCTTGCTGATGATCTGTTTAAAATGTTTTCCACTCTGAAGATTCATCAGCAGCATGAAGAGGGATAACCCTTATCCTGTCTTAGACATCTAAAGATCAGATGGAAACATTTATTTATCATGATAAAAAATTGAGAACTGAGGGATAATCCATCCTTTCATGGTTACCTTACAGCTCTTGACTTTTTAATTGTTCTATAGGATCTCTGTATTTCAGTGGTAATTAGGAGAGGACACTCTCAATATCACGCAGAATTCAAGTCAGGCTTTTGCCGTTTTGATCTCATTAGAATACTCGGAATTCAGGTATTCTGCTTTAAGACACGGTCATCATTCTTCTGTCTCCTGGTCCAGGCCCTATATTCTTCAGAGGGTATTTCCAATCTTCCCATGAAGTCTCAAGGTCATTGCTTACACTGATATTCATGAGTGGTTAAGCAACATGCCCCAAATAATTTATTACTTGTTTGTGGTATCCCCAGTGCTTAAAAGTACTGACCTGTAATCCATGTTAATTATATGTGGATGTTGGGTTGTGGTTGGGGAAAGAAGAGGAATCATGAACATTTTTGGAACGTTGAAAATTTCTTATTTTTGAAAGAAATTCCTCCTGACCTGGTCTGTGACATTAATCAAGACTGTGCCAGCACCTTCTTCAGATTCTTATTGGAAAAACAGAAATGGCCTGAGGTGCTTCTGCTGCTGACCCGCAAAGTCAGTGGAGAGCCACCGCTTGGAGACTGCTTCATCAAAGACTGCAGCTTCTCAGACCTCGACATCTGTACCATCATCCCCCACCTCAGCACCTGGGACCAGCGGAAGACACAGCTTCTGGGCTGCCTGATAGACAGAGGAGGTGAGAGTGACTGGATGCTGAGCACTGGAGACTTGTGCACATTCTCCACATGATGGGGTCCAGGCCACTGCCTGCCTGTCCCTTGCTTTTGGAGGCACCATGAAGTTCACCCTCATTGTCTCCCCTGTGTATTCTTGTTTTCAAACAGTGATGGAGGTTACTGCCCTGTGAGTGAGTTGCCCTTGAGGAACTCTACACTTTTGTGGATTCCAGTTGCTACCTTTCTTTCTCTTGTATGAGAAACGTCAGGTGTGTGGAGGGTCCTTGGCTGTGTTTGGCCCACAGCAGTCATTTCCTCCTGGCCTCTGGCTAGACTTTGACTTGCAGTGGATATGCTGTGTGGATCCTTGTCTGCTTCTGTGACGTTCTTTTCTGATCAACTGATTGGAATTCGAGATGCTTGTTTTTAAAGAAATGGTCAAGTGATTGTGGGTGGAAGCATCTGCTGCTTTAATCAGAACTATCACGCGTGGCTGGGTGTGTGTCTGGAGTGTGGACACATCTTGCTGAATTCGGTTTTATTTCCAAACTGATTTAGAAACACCAAAATCCTCCCACCCCTGTCCCTCACAACCCCAGTAATGCCACTACTAACTGTGTGGCCTTGGGCAGGCTATTTATGTCTTCATCTCCTCGTTGCTAAAATGAATTAATGTGTGCAGGCTTTTAGAAAAGTGCCTTGGCTATGTAGTTTTCTGCTTGTTTTGTGCTGTAAGAGACAATGTCTTTCGTGGGAAAAGAGATTACATGTTATCAATAACACATAATATGTAAGATATAACAGTAATGTGTTATCAATAGCATGTTGATCCTTAGCCCTCAAAGTGCCACACACTGTGCAAGGCCTTTAGGTGTTGGCTCCATCCACAGCTTTCAGGAGATAGATGGGGTCTCGTCTGCAATTTATTTCTTTAAACTCCTTCCTTACGTGGAGTGTTACTTTCTTTGTCTGGAAACCACGGCTGGCATGGAATTCCTGTTTTATTCCTTGATTGAGCAAGCACTTTTAGAGCACGTCTCAGAATCAGGTGCTAGGAACCAAGTCCGCAGAGGTGAGTGCGCAGCTGCTGGAAGCGTGTGAGGAAACTGCAGATCCACAGTGGGGGCTCTGCCTTTAGCTGGAGGTTGGGGAACTTCCATGCAGAGAGGCTGTGTGGACTGAGCTACAAAAGAAGGTGATTTGGAGTGGAGAGATGTCAGGGAAGATGGCAGTTGGGAGAATAAGAGCCCAGAAGCAAGTGCTGTAGCCTATTCTCACTCATAAGTGGGAGTTTAACAGTGAGAACACGTGGACACAGGAGGGGAACATCACACACCGGGGCCTGTTGGGTGGTGGGCGACTAGGGGAGGGATAGCATTAGGAGAAATACCTAATGTAGGTGACAGGTTGATGGGTGCAGCAAACCACCATGGCACATGTATGCCTATGTAACAAATCTGCACATTCTGCACATGTACCCCAGAACTTAAAGTATAATTATAATTAAAAAAAAAAAGCCAGAGATGTAGAAAGTGTCCTCACACTGACTGTCTCAGGTATGGTGTTACCTGAAGTAACCAAGTGTTGGGTTTCAGTCCTCATGCCAGGACAGTGGGAATGGTGGGAACTATGCTCGTGTGGTGGGGAGGTGGAGAGGAGGCACGGGCGAGGCTGCTGGGGGAGGCCTTTGCCTTGCAGAATGGGTACTGGTAGGAGGATCTTGGAAGTTAGGTAAGCATTAGCTCCTCCCTTGCCACTGAATAACTAACCGAAGTGGTTCCTCTCTCATCAGGTGAGCCAGGCTGTGCTTGCTCACATTACCCTTCCCTCTGCCCCCTCCCAGCCTTGCCTGATGGTCTTCAGGAGAGCCAGGAGAAGCCACTTGTCATGTGCCTGAAACATGAGGACTTCGAATTGGCTTTCCTTCTCTTGACCAAGGGCGCAGACCCCCGTGCTATTTCTCTCATGGAAGGTGATACGCCTTTGCATGCAGCACTCCACATCTTTCTAGAGATCAAAGGTAAGCCCTTGTTTTTTAAGCAGCCTTTTCCTTGAGCAGGAAGCGGCTGGATATTAGAACTGATGCTCTATTTTCTGGTCTTTCCTTTTGTGAAAACTAGAGAGCTAAAAAACAAGCCCCCTTTCTTGGCCAGGCCTGTCCAAGTCACCTGGCCCCTCACTTGTAGCACGATGGGAAGAAGTGACAGTCATGGTGAATAGTCAGGGTGGGTTGATGGGGGATTTTTTTTTTTTTTTTGAGATGGAGTTTCGCTCTTGTTACCCAGGCTGGAGTGCAATGGCGCGATCTCGGCTCACTGCAACCTCCGCCTCCTGGGTTCAGGCAATTCTCCTGCCTCAGCCTCCTGAGTAGCTGGGATTACAGGCACGCGCCACCATGCCCAGCTAATTTTTTGTATTTTTAGTAGAGACGGGGTTTCACCATGTTGACCAGGATGGTCTCGATCTCTTGACCTTGTGATCCACCTGCCTCGGCCTCTCAAAGTGCTGGGATTACAGGCATGAGCCACTGCGCCCGGCCCTATGGAGGATTCTTAAGTTCCAGAGTTGCCTGCTGGTAGCTGAAAAGCACTTTCCATTTATTTATATCATTCTCAAGGGTCCTCATGTGAAGGATCTTGCTAGAATCGTATGCAGTTATTTGGGGATAACCGTGATGTTGGGCTGGATAACTCTTTGTTGTAAGACGCTGTCCTACGCGTTGGAGGGTATTTAGCATCATCCCTGACCTCCACTTATCAGTTGCCAGTGACACTGCCCTGGTTGTGACAATAAAAAATGTCTCTAGATGTTACCAAATGTCCCTTCGGGAATAAATCACCGTTGGTTGAGAACCGCTGAGTTCTTTAATGGATGTCAGATATTTGGGGGAGTTCAGTGTTCTGAGATGCCCCTGGCTGGTATCACTCTCAAACCCCAGGGTTTGCTGTCCCACGAGAAGAGTGGCTTAGCGCTCACAGGGTTTCGCTTGTGTCTTTCAGCTGACATTGGTTTTAGCTTCCTCAACCATCTGTTGGATCTGTTTTGGTCCAACCCCACCGAATTCAGCTACCTCAACCCCAACGTCCAGGACGGCAACGGGAACACGCTGATGCACATCCTCTTCCAGAAGGGCATGCTAAAGCGCGTGAAGAAGCTGTTGGACCTGCTCGTGAGGTTTGACATCAACTTCAACCTGAAGAACAAAGAGGGCAAAGATGCACGGCACCGGATCAAGAAGAATGACTCTCTGCTCCTGGCCTGGAACAAAGCTCTCATGGAGAACAGGCGGAGGAGCCGGCAGGACTCTGCTGCCCACTTGGGGAAGCCCTCCAGGTCCACCGCCCCTGGTCACACGTCCCAGCCCAAGTCCCAGGGTTCTTTCAAGTCACTGCCATGTGGTACCACTGCCAGAACCCTGTCTGAAGGAAGTGCAGTCCCTGACAGCTGGGAGACTCTCGCAGATACCCAGGTGACCAGGGAAGAGCCTGGAGCTCTCAGGACACGCTCTCTGAGAGACCGCCTTATGCAGGACATCACAGATTTGATTCAGCAGGTTGAAGTGGATCCATCTTTCTCAGAGGACTGTCCTCAGAGCTCTGAGCCTCTGGAGGCAGTAGCTGGCAAGGAAGGAAAGAAAGATGAGCTCCAGCCGACCCTGGGTGCAGGGGCCCCTGACTGTAGTGTGGCAGGGGAAGGACATGCTCAGGGGGGCCTGGAGGCCTTGCAGCTTGTGCCCGCTGATAACGGAGGGAAGGAGGGCAATGACAATCAGGATGACAGGAGCACGCAGGAGATTGAGGCCTGCCTCCAGGACTTTGATAACATGACCTGGGAGATCGAGTGCACTTCAGAAATCCTGAAGAAGCTGTCTAGTAAGGTCATGTCTAAAGTCATCAAGAAGAAAGTCATCCTTGCCATCCAGCAGCTGGGGAATGGCGAGTGGACCCACGGCTTGCAGAAGCGACTGAAGCACCTGAAAGGAAGCATCCTGCTCTTCGAAGCCAAGCTGGACAAAGGAGCCCGGATGCTGTGGGAGCTTGCCATCGACTTCTCCCCTCGATGCAGTGAGAGTCCTGAGAAGATCATTGCCGTAGAGCAGAACACGTGTGCCACGGAGAAATCAGGGCGGATCTACACAGAAATCATCCGGATTTGGGACATTGTCTTAGATCACGGTAAACTGGCCGATTCCATCAAGGCCATCTGCAGTGCCTACAACCGGGGCTTGTCCTGTGTCCTGAGGAAGAAGCTGAAGGGTATCAATAAAGCTCAAGTGTCAGCTAACATGAAAATTCAGAAGCGTATACCTCGCTGCTATGTGGAGGACACGGAGGCCGAGAAGGGCAAGGAGCATGCCAATCCTGAGTACTTTCCCCCGGCCAGTGCAGTGGAGACAGAATATAACATCATGAAGTTCCACAGCTTCAGCACCAACATGGCCTTTAACATCCTGAATGACACGACAGCCACGGTGGAGTATCCCTTCCGGGTGGGTGAGCTTGAGTACGCGGTGATCGACCTCAACCCCAGGCCACTGGAGCCCGTCATCCTTATTGGGCGAAGTGGCACGGGGAAGACCACCTGCTGCTTGTACAGATTGTGGAAGAAATTCCACGTTTACTGGGAAAAAGCTGAGCAGGCAGGGAGCCCGTTGCTGGCCAAACAGATCTGGCTGAAGAGAAGGTTGGAAGTGGAACTGGGAAAAGAGGGTCCGGGTGGGGAGGAAGAGGAGGAGGAAGAGGACGAGGAAGAGGAAGGTTCTATCGAAGTGGAAACAGTTGACAGCATAGATGAGCAGGAGTACGAAGACTGCACAGGGGGAGCCTGTGTGGAGCCAGCCGGGGGCGGCCAAACCGCAGAAGCGTGTGCACCAGAAGATCCCCACCAGCTGGAGCATCTGCATCAGATCTTTGTGACCAAGAACCACGTCCTGTGCCAGGAGGTACAAAGGAATTTCATTGAGCTTTCCAAGTCCACCAAGGCCACCAGTCATTACAAACCACTGGACCCCAACATTCACAAACTGCAGGACCTGAAGGACGAGAACTTTCCTCTCTTTGTCACTTCCAAGCAGCTGCTTCTCCTGCTTGATGCGTCTCTGCCCAAACCATTTTTTCTGAGAAACGAAGATGGAAGCTTGAAAAGAACCATCATAGGCTGGTCCACACAGGAAGAGTCGACCATCCCCAACTGGCAAGAGGATGAGGAGGAGGCTGAGGTGGATGGGGACTACAGTGAGGAGGATAGAGCTGTGGAAATGCGTACAGGTGACAGTGACCCCCGGGTGTATGTGACGTTTGAAGTGTTCAAAAATGAAATATGGCCCAAGATGACCAAAGGGAAGACCACCTACAACCCCGCACTGATTTGGAAAGAAATAAAATCTTTTCTAAAGGGCTCTTTTGAGGCCCTCAGCTGTCCCTATGGGAGACTCACTGAAGAAGCATATAAGAAATTAGGGAGGAAGCGGTCCCCCAATTTCAAGGAAGATCGGAGTGAGATCTATAGCCTCTTCTGTCTGTATCAGCAAATCAGGTCCCAGAAAGGTTATTTCGATGAAGAGGATGTTCTGTACAACATATCCCGGAGGCTGTCGAAGCTGAGGGTGCTTCCATGGTCCATCCACGAGCTTTATGGTGATGAGATTCAAGACTTTACCCAAGCTGAGCTGGCACTGCTGATGAAATGCATCAACGACCCCAACGCTATGTTCCTCACGGGGGACACGGCGCAGAGCATCATGAAGGGTGTGGCCTTCCGCTTCAGCGATCTGCGTTCTCTGTTCCACTATGCCAGCAAAAGCACCGCCGACAAGCAGTGTGTTGTCCGGAAGCCCAAGAAGATCCACCAGCTGTACCAGAATTACAGGTCCCACTCAGGTGAGTCTAGGCCTTGGGCTTGCCAACTGGGGGTGCTCGGGCACAGACTTCGGGCTGCCTTTGAAGCTGCAGACTAGCTCCTGCTGGGTTTTTATAGCTGAAGGAAGGGGAATATTTTGGAATTTGTTAGTAAATATGCTCACGGACAAGAGATGGTATGATTTTGGCCACTGCTCCTTCTAAAGTTGATAATCTAAGCTGTGGTTGGGTGGCAACTGACTTTTCAGTAATTATATCTCAAGAAGTTTGCCATAATATGAATACATTTCAGAGGGAACATTTAAACTGTTTGAGAACTTTTGTTAAAGCACTTTGGAAGTACCTGCTCATTTTATATAAAGTAATATACCAGTTATAAGTCATTAATTCTTGAAGCTGGTTTTCTCCCAAAGAGAAGCTAAAAAAAAAAAAAGGGAGGGTGGTAGGCAGTAGACATTGACACACACTCGGTTTTTTTTTTTTTTTAAGATGGAGTCTTGCTCTGTTGCCCAGGCTGGAGTGCAGTGGTGTGATTTCGGCTCACGGCAACCTCCGCCTCCCAGGTTGAAGCAATTCTCCTGCCTCAGCCTCCCGAGTAGCTGGGATTACAGGCACCCACCACCACACCAGACTAAGGTTCTTTTTTGTATTATGTTATTAGAGATGGGGGTTTCACCATCTTGGCCAGGCTGGTCTCAAAACTCCTGACCTCAGGTGATCCACCTGGCTCAGCCTCCCAAAGTGCTGGGATTGCAGGCGTGAACCACCGCGCCCAGCCGCACTCAGGTGTTTTTAATTTGTGTCTCAGTTTTGCACCTTCTCTGTGCCAGGCACAATGCTAAGCAGTTTACATTTGGTATGCATGCTTAGCCTTCATAACACCACTGCAGGGAAGCATCAGTCCCATTTTACAAAGGAGAAACTGAGGCACACAAGTTTAAATAACAGGATACCAACGTCAGGATATTTCCTTTATGGTTTCTAGATACTAACAAATTTACCTCCTTTGGCCTACAAATGTCAGTGGATGATATGGAGTATTATTTTACTTGTTTAAATACTTCAATGGGATAATGCTGGACATATCTTTCTACAACTGAGTATTTTTATCTAATGTTATGTTGTCAAGATTTCTTTTTTTTTGAGATGGAGTTTCTCTCTGTCGCCCAGGCTTGAGTGCAGTGTTGCAACCTTGGCTCACTGCAACCTCCACCTCCTGGGCTTAAGTGATTCTCCTGCCTCAGCCTCCCGAGTAGCTGGGATTTACAGGCGCCTGCCACCACGCCCAGCTAATTTTGTGTTTTTCGTAGAGACAGTGTTTCACCATGTAGGTCAGGCTAGTCTTGAATACTCCTGATCTCAGGTGATCCGCCCACCTCAGCCTTCCAACATGCTGGGATTACAGGCATGAGCTACCATACCCGGCCTGTTGGTGAGATTCTGAATGTTTGTAATGTGCAGTCCAGTGCATTCACTGAGGTTCATGTAGCGTAAAAGGCACCCATTGGAAATGTGCAATTTAATGTATTCACAAGATTGTGCAGCTCTCACCATCATCCAGTTCCAGAACATTTTCAGAAATTAACCCTCCCCCAAAACCCGTAACCATAGTAGTTACCACTCATTGTGTCTTCTCCTCCCACTGCACGGTGACAACTCATCTTTCTATTTCTATGGATTTGCCTGTTGTGGACATTTCGTATCGGCGGAATCATACAGTATGTGGCCTTCTGTGTCTGCTTTCTTTCACTCAGCTTCATGCCTCCAAGGTTTATCCATGTATAGTATGGATCAGCACTTGATTCCTCTCTTTGCTTGAGGCATCTTTTATTCTTTGAGTATGATTAATGGTTATATCAAAGATTACTTGTCTAGTTCCCTAGAAGGCCATTTAAGTGGATTCTACAGCAATTTTTTTGCCCTTTTCTGATTCTCTTGTTAATGAAGATAGATCTTTGGCCCCTACTAACTCCTAATGGGAAGGAAACCACAGTGAAAGCTTATTGCTTAGATTGAGCAGTTTCCACTTAGGTTTATTCCTTTATATTGTATACTTTTAATGACAGTAGTATTGGATAGCCAGTTTTTCCTTTCATTATCTGGTAATAGCAATGGAGATACATATGCCCATTTCATGATGTTCTACCTAGATCATTACATCTATCTGGCGTTTGTAAAGGGCATGTGGCCTCTAAAAATAATGGAGAGACCCAGGAAGATCTATATTCAAATCCTATCACTTGGAGGTATTTATTAGCTGCTCAGAACTCAGAGTTCCTATTTGTAAAAGTGCAATTGTCTCATCTGTTTCACTGCATTGTGGTGAGGATTAAATGGGATGACTTTTATAAAGGTGCCTGCTATGTGATAGGCATTCAGTCAGTGTCACTCTCAATGTCACTTCAGATATTAGAAGAGAAATGGGACCCAGGAATAAAGCTCTTTGGAAAATCCTCTCCCCTCCTCCGACATTTCTTCTTAGTGTAATCCTCTCTCGACTGGGGGTATAAACCTAGTGGAAAAGCGTGCGGGAGGCCTTGGCTGCTGTCCTTAGCTAACATGCAGCACCCTTGTTACCATGGTAATGGTGCTGCCAGCTCTGTAAGCACCAATGGGAGAGGACAAGGTAATTCTGGTTTTCTTACCAAAGTCCATACCAGCCCCTTATGTGAGCATTGTAACAGCTCTCATTGTTTATATTACATTTTTGCCTGGACTCTTCGTGAGGTAATTTTCTCTAATATGAATATAGGCTGGGAATGAGAGCCCACAAAATTCTCTGAGCACAGCAACATGTCTCTGCCTTTATCCACCGTATCCAGAGAGCTCAGGGCTGCAGTGGTGATCGAATGGGAACTGGACACAGGCTTGCAATTATACACACTATAGGGGCCAAATCTGCTTCTCAAGAAAAGCACGTGCCCCACCCCAAATAACCAAAACACTCAGTCATGTTGTTCATTATCCAGCTTGTGTTTTCTGTTGTATTCCAGGAATCCTCAATCTGGCCTCTGGAGTGGTAGATTTACTTCAGTTCTATTTCCCAGAGTCTTTTGATCGCCTTCCAAGGGATACTGGCCTCTTTGACGGTCCGAAGCCAACTGTTCTGGAGTCTTGTAGTGTAAGCGACTTGGCAATTTTGCTGCGAGGGAATAAAAGGAAAACTCAGCCCATTGAATTTGGAGCCCACCAGGTGAGCTGCTTGGCTTCTTATGTTTTGAAATAAAAGGCAGTTTGCAATTGAAGAAAGCTTTGAGAGGCTAAATTATTCCACAAGGTAGAATTCAAAATAGTCCCTGTCCCACAATGGGTGAGTTCCAGAGATGGCTGAGTGGCCAAGTGTTTCATCTTCCCCCTGGCCTGCCCAACCACGTTTATGCTGGCCATTTCTCTTTAAAGACAGTACCTACCTCCCAGATAAATAGACTGAGCCTTACCAGGTTTTTCCCTGTAGACCTTGATGTTCTTTTGTTTTCCTGCAGGTCATCCTTGTGGCCAATGAAACGGCAAAGGAGAAAATTCCAGAAGAGCTGGGTTTAGCACTTGTGCTAACAATTTATGAAGCAAAAGGCTTAGAATTTGATGATGTCCTCCTTTACAACTTTTTTACTGATTCTGAGGTACGTCACACTGAATTCTTTTCACACAATGAATGTATTTGTATGAGCTGACCTTCACTCTGGGGAAGAGAATTTGGAGCTGAGGGCAAGAGAGTTTATAACAGGCCCCTGTTTGTATTTTGGAGCATCATTCATTCATTGTGAGGTTTTGTGTGTTTAGATGTGGGTTTTGGCATTAGCTGTGGGTTGTTTCACAGTGTGTCATGGGCTGGTTCCCCCATGTTCTGCCCTTCTTTGGCTGTCTAGTACCCAAGTGCCAGTGTCCAGTTCTCATTAGCCACTGTTATCCTTAGCTCCCAGGGATGCCCAAGTTGGAGCAAGCTCTAAGGAGAGCCTTACAGATGAAGCCAAGGTTAGCATTGTCCACCCTGTGATGACAGAACTGGGTAAGGTCAGTTCATAGATAGAGACAGTTCCAGGAAGACAAATGAGGCTTGGTTCCTGCCCTCTGGATCAGGTAATGTGGGGGATAAGAACAGCTTCCTTGCATGGGAGACCCCTCTAGCATGGCTTCACTACCACTGCTTGCAGCCCATGCAGATGATGGCAGCCAAAGCATCCCCAGATTGACCCCCAGTGACCTCTGTATTGGTCCACTGCTTTCACTTGGCTCCTGAGTCCTCGTGGGTTTTTCTCCCCAAGCTTTGTTCATGATGGGTAGAGCCACCAACTCATGGCCATTGTCCTGGGTTTTCTAGCCACTGTTTTCTCTTTTCCACCGTCTTTTGGTGCAGACTTAGACTGGCTGCTGACTATACTGTGGGGTCTTCTTTGGGGACTTGGCTGGCTTGTTTCCCAGTCCTTGTTGCAGACTTCCATTGCACATGATGCATGCTTGAAGGGGCTGTGAACACCCAAGTCAAGAGCACTGTTGGCTTTAGCACTGACCCTTTGGATACAGTCCTTCCTTTTTTTCATACCATTTTTTAAATGTTATTTTGCCTGAACAGCACAACTATTATAATATTGCTCTGGGTGCTTTGCTGTTTACAGGGTACTTTTGGAATTCATTGTCTCACTCAACCAACCCTCTGAAGTTACAGGTATTTTTATTATGCTCATTCTTTTTTTTTTTTTTGAGACGGAGTTTCGCTCTTGTTACCCAGGCTGGAGTGCAATGGCGCGATCTCGGCTCACCGCAACCTCCGCCTCCTGGGTTCAGGCAATTCTCCTGCCTCAGCCTCCCGAGTAGCTGGGATTACAGATACGCGCCACCGTGCCCAGCTAATTTTTTTGTATTTTTAATAGAGACGGGGTTTCACCATGTTGACCAGGATGGTCTCGATCTCTTGACCTCGTGATCCACCCACCTCGGCCTCCTAAAGTTGTGAGATTACAAGCATGAGCCACCTTTATCTGTAGAGAAAGCAGAAAGTCACTGAGATTAAGTAAATTTCTCATAGTCATAACGTAGATGGCAGAGCCCAGAGACGAACTCAGATGCTTTGAGTTCTAAATCTCTTTCATTTTCCTTCTTTATAAGCCTCGCATGTGAATTGAATTCCAGAACCTTCCACAATTAGTATATCATTGCGATTCCTTACGTACGTTCCTTTTCTATTAAATTTTGCTAATAAAATCAGATGCACACTCATTAACCCTGGAACCATTTTTACCTTTGAGGACTAACTTTTTTTTCTAACAATACATCCATCGGTCATGGTTGGACTGAGGCTCTCCTAAAAGAGGAAGGGTAAGACTTTGTTGTTTCTGTCCTTTGATAAGTACCAGTTCTATGCTTGTGCCAGTAAGAAGCTCAAGAAGCTCTGGACTTCAGGATCTGTGACTAGGGGTTGGCTCTATTTGTGAAAGAAAAATCCAGTTGTGTGTCTTATCTTGAACCTGAAAATGGTGAAGGCTTTGGGTATCTTGACCCCGTGCTCCCACCAGTGGCTCAGGGAGTTGCCTGAAATGGAAACAATCCCCCACGGAATCTTTTGTTCACATCCACTTCATCGTGTGTAAACAGTAAGACCTTGGAAACTACTTCTGCTGGGGTTCCTTCCAGTGTTAATGCGACCGTTAATTCCGTGGCCCAAAGCACACTCTGAGTTTATCATTTACAGCCTCCAGGTCAAAGGCAGTCAGTCAGCAGATGAGAGGAAATGCTTTCATAAAAGGATATGAAAGGCAGGTCACACATCTCCACAGTCTCCTGTGGTCTGGCTGCTTACAAGGGGTTTATTTCGAGGTAACTGAAGGCTGCTGAACAGTGATTGCTATTTGAACCTGGGGGACTGTGGAGAGCTCCTGTCTCTCCTTGACCCCTTCTTCCGTCTCATTTATGTTTCTGGCAAGCACCCTCTTTGAAGCAGCTGTTATCTGGGCTTATACGTGTGAGTGGGTTGAGGGGTGTGCTGCTTTTTGGCCTGGTTTGTGATTCTTCTCTCTAGAGGGTTTATTGTTACCTGTTGAAACACATGGTCACCAGAGCCATCCCCTGAGATGTGGAAGGGGCCATGGAACTGTTACCCCAAAGCGTTTTGTAGGACGTTGCCTTCTTTTTGGGGGAGAGGAAGTCATTCTTCCAGTCAAGTCACCCTCAAACTGTCCTTCTGTGGGCACTTAGAAGGGTGACTGCCATTCATACCTTTCCCCAGTGGGACCTCCTTTCTTTCAGACTCATGTCAGTGGTACAGGAGGGACTTTGAAAACCACAACCTTTATGGATTGTCTAACTGACCTAGAGAATAGACCCCTAAAGGTAGGCTTGCTAGTAAAATCTAAGCCTTTTCCTTCACGATTGATGGTCCCAAGAGAAGAAACTGGAGGACTTTTCAATTTTGCTGCTTTTATTCCTGCAAATGCTGTAGGCCTGTATCCTTGCTACAAGTATATGAGCGTACTCCTAAAAGGCCCCACCTTGGAAATACAATATGTTTGATTCATAAAACAGGTCAGTCATGTGCCATCTGAGCAGCTATTGCTTCTCTTCCAGCAGTTTTAAAACACACTGTGCTTCCCTAGCCCTTTCAAGGTTAGCCAGTCTGTACCTCGTGCTGCCTGCCAGGAGGATCCTCTCAAATGTCAAGCACTCGTGTCTTCTGCCTACTTTTCCTTGGCAGACAATTTCCTTGTCTACATAGCTTCACAAAGAGGGCGGTCACAAATATGTCCTGAAGACTATTTTAAACCTTCCAACGACTTAAATGATTTTATGTTTCAGAACATGGTGATTGGTACCATAATCGATGAGTAGCAGAGCCATTCCTTTTAATAGACAGTGTTTAAGGCATTTAACCTTGTTTACATAGTTGAGATGATGGAGTAACTTAAGGCAGGTAATAAACTATCCACTTAACGTTTTCAGCATGCTTTAAAAGTTGCATAGATGGCAAGTTTTATAAAGAGGAAAGTAAAGGCTAGGAGAGTTAACTAGCTACTCTCACAAGACATGGGAAAGTATGAAATACGAAGTTTCTTAAGAATTTTGAATTCTGAATGCTGCATGTAATCTGGGCACTTGAGTTTTAGCGGTATCTGCAGATGACAGCCTGCTGGCCAAATCCAGCCTACTGGTGGTTTTTGATGGCCTGTGGGCAAGAATGGTTTTTACATTTTTAAATGATCAGAAAAAAACCCAAAGGAGAATGATATTTTATGGCATGTAAAACTGATATGAAATTCGATTCACAAAGAAAGTTCCGTTGGAACATGACACACTCATTTGTTTACTTGTTGACCGCTGTTCTAGCACCAAAACGGCGGTGTTGAGCAGTTGCGAGAGAGATCACGTGCCCTGCAATGAGAAAATTATTTACGATCTGACACTTTCAAGAAAAAACTTACGAGCCCCTGGTCTCGTAGTCACTTTGGTTTTGGGGTTTTGGTAAAGGAAAAAAAATGGGTAAAATATCAACTATTAAACTCTGTGCTAGACGTTTGACACTCATGATCTGTTTTTATTTTCCCAACAAAGTTGGGTAGTAGTATCCTCATTTTGTAGAGCAGGAGAATAAACAATGTGTCCAAGGTTGCAAAGTTAATAAATGGAAGAACTGAGATACAAATTCGTTCTGTCCGATCTGAGAGTCTACCTCGCACACCATAGCCCTGGATTTTCTTCCTCCTCAATTAAACATTCTGCCATATGTGTCTTAACTGCTGACCCTAAGTGACATCTCTTAACCGTGTTGTGAGAAGGGGTGAGGATTCCCCCGTCCATGCTGATTGTACAAATTCTTTCAATGAGAACAACTCCCTGAGCTCTTAGCATTCTTCCCTGGAAGTGGTCATGTGTGCCTGGCTTCTTAGCTATTTTGGTCTAACGTGTGGGGAATTTTCACAACTTCCCTGGTTTCTGCCTGTGCAAGCTAGTCTCTCCCTCCTATCCATTCTAAGATCACAGGATGGACTCTTCCTCAAAGCTGAGGTTGAAGGCCTGGTACCCTGATGAGGCTTAATTTTCCATGAAGCTCAGGGAGGCTATGTGTATAGTTCAAAAGCATATTTTGTTAGTCTTCAATTTTTTGTTGTTGTTCAGGCTTATAAGGAATGGAAGATCATTTCCTCATTCACACCTACATCAACTGACTTCAGAGAGGAAAACCGGCCGTTGGTTGAAGTACCCCTGGACCAACCAAGCTCTGCTCAGGGGCGATCTCTCATGGTGAATCCAGAAATGTACAAGGTGAATTTCTGCCATCTGTCAACACACATATTTGACATGGAACCAGTAAACAAGGCCTGGGAGAGAAGATGAGAGGAAAATGGAACTTGCACTTGGCTGGTTTTCCTCAGCAACAGGGAATGGAGGCTGGGCAAGGAAGGAACAGGAATCTCAGTTCTGGCAAATTCCCTTTTTCTCAGTAGAGAGCTGGGCTTGATGGGTGGGCACTGTCTGAAGCAGAAGGAGGAGGGTTGTACTTTCTAGTTCACCTCTGAACTCAGCTTTGTTCTATCAGAAATTTTGATGCCATCGTAGGGTGGGTTTGGAGTAATTCAGTGCTAGTGATAGTTATAATAGAAGTGTATGACTGGTTTAATTTTTTAAAAATAAGTCACAGCAATTGTGTAAGAGGTAACCATTGGGGTAAACTGAGTACATGGGATCTGTCTGTACTCTTTGTAACTTCCAGTGAATCTGTAATTATTTCAGAATTAACACAAAATAATTAGAGCAAAAAGAGAAAAAAAAAAACAACTTATGGCCGATTCAAAGGTCGTCCCATGCAGATGGCATGCTCACGTCCTGCTTAGCTGGGAAAGGGGGGAGTTTCTCTTGGCCTCACTGGAGCGTTGCTTACCTGTGCTGTGGCCATAGTGAGCTCCTGGCATCTTGCTCTCAGCTGTGCTATCCTTCTATACAATTTAGTTTTTGTATTTTTCCAAAATTAGATAGAGTAAGCCCATTGGAGTGTGTCACATTGTAGCTAATGACAAATGGCTCCTCATCTTTGTCCTCAATGTTATCTTTAGCTCCTCAACGGGGAGCTGAAGCAGCTGTACACCGCTATCACGCGGGCTCGGGTCAACCTCTGGATCTTTGATGAAAACCGAGAGAAACGGGCTCCCGCGTTCAAATATTTCATTAGGAGAGATTTTGTCCAAGTTGTAAAGACAGATGAAAATAAAGGTAAGATCCTGTTAAAATACTCTCAGTATTGGAGGAATCATGTTTCTCTCAGCCGTTCTTATGGTCAGGAATAAAAGGTGTAGCTTTTTGAAAGTGCTTTATTTGTTTTCCACAATATTCTGAGAAATGAAAGTTGTTATTCATTTGCCAAGTTGTGTGGGAAAGTGTGGCTGTAGTGGGATTGGGAAGGTTAATGCCTTCAGGGAAGATCTTTTATTTGTCCTTTAAAAGTGGGGATTATGGACAGGGCTAGAGGAAATAGGCCCTTTTGGGAGAATACAAAGTACTATGAGTATTTGTACAGTTGATTAACAATATCTATAAAAATAAAGATTGTACATACCTTTAACCCAACAGTTTCACTTCTAGAAATACATCTGAGATATTTGTGTTGAAAATCTCAAAACTACCTGCGTAAGTATCCTCATCACAGCCCTGTCTGTGATCATAAGAAACGAAAAGCAATCTAAGTGTCCACCAATGAGGGAAAGGTTAAATGCATTTCTTTCAGGGGACTCCTATGCATCCATGAAAAAGAACAAGGTGGTAGATTGTCATTTCCTGATGTGGAAAGACGTTCAAGATGTATTATGTGAAAGAGAAGTTTAAAACAGCCTGGGTAGAATGATATAATTTATAAGTAACCTTATATTATTATGCAAATATAAAAACCATTTATGTACATCAGTATATATCAGAATAGAATGTTTATGCATGTGTACTTAGATAATATACAAACACCTATTGAAGTGTCTTTAACTGTCAAACCCAATTCAGTTCCTGAGTTTGTTTATCAAGAACTGGGCTTGTGAGAGTGCAGCTACTGTGGTAACAGGTTGTCTGAATCTGTGTGGTTTCTGCGTTTCACAGAACAAGGAAACTAAGAGTTCAGGCAGTAAGAACTCTCAGTTCAGATAGTAAGAACCAAGAGCGGCGACAGTAAGGAATTAATCAGAAAACTTCCCTGTATTCGGTTCCTGATTGTGGGTAACAAGGGTTTAAATAGCAGGAGTTTGGAGAGGTAGCATGCATATAAAGTCATGTATACACCTATTATTTCTGATGCACAACTGTGTATAGTGATGACCTCTGGTGCTGACACTGGTGGGCATGGGGCTATTGAGTAGGTATGGACACCTTTTATTTTTTACCTTTGTATCTCTGTGCTATTTGCATTTTTTTTTTAATTTTTGTATCTTTTTTTCATTAATTTGCAAAGACTACCTAACAAAGTGAAGTTCTCCTGATAGGATAACAGAAGAGACATAATCAGCCCTTCATGAAGGAGAAAATTGTTGCCTTTCTTGAGGGTTAGTTGTCAAGTTGTCTCCTCAAGGCCATTGTTAATTTCTGTAAGTATAGGGCAAGGAGCAGAGTTTGGCTGCTGGAGAGAGGTTTCTCCTGGGCATTCCTCAGCCAGTTTGGAGGCTATTTCTGGTTATTACTGATGGCTCGGCTGGGGACTAGGATTAGATTTCTTATCCTAAGACTTGACTGTTGTGACGGGAAAAGTCAAAGGCTAGGAGTTAAAAAACAAAACAGGCTGGGTGTGGGGGCTCAAGCCTGCAATCCCAGCACTGTGGGAGGCCGAGGCGGGTGGATCACGAGGTCGAGAGATCGAGACCATCCTGGTCAACATGGTGAAACCCCGTCTCTACTAAAAATATAAAAAATTAGCTGGGCATGGTGGCGCGTGCCTGTAATCCCAGCTACTCAGGAGGCTGAGGCAGGAGCATTGCCTGAACCCAGGAGGCGGAGGTTGCGCTGAGCCGAGATCGCGCCATTGCACTCCAGCCTGAGTAAAAAGAGTGAAACTCCGTCTCAAAAAAATAAACAAAAACAAAAAACATAGGTTCGCATAAAAATTCTCCACCTGTGTAATGCCATGACCGTGTTCAGGTCCCACTTTCTCTCCCAAAGGAAAGTGAGTGGATTGGCCTAGTAATAGGCCTTCTCAATCTTCCTGCAGCTCATTCCCCTGAATTCCCCAGGTATGTTCTGGGACCCACTGTAAGATATCATATGGCCAGATGTGGTGGCTCATGCTTGTAATCCCAGCACTTTGGGAGGCCAAGGGGGGTGGATCACCTGACGTCAGGAGTTTGAGACCAGCCTGACCAACCTGGTGAAACCCCATCTCTACTAAAAATAACAAAAATTAGCTAGGTGTGGTGGTGTGCACCTGTAGTCCCAACTACTTGGGAGGCTGAGGCAGGAGAATCGCTTGAACATGAAAGGTGAAGGTTGCAGTGAGCCAAGATCACGCTACTGCACTCCAGCCTAGGTGACAGAGCTAGACCCATCTCAAAAAAATAGAGAGATCATATAAGATAGGTGATTTTTTTTTAATTTGAAAATTCAAAATGAAAATGGATTACAACTGATTTTATGTTTTTGTAGCATCAAGAATGCAAGAAAAAGGTCAGTCTTAACAACACATTTTACACTGTACATAGTCAAGTCTCTCAGAGCATCTGTTCCATTGTGCTTGGATTAAGTATAGTGACTACGCAATTGTGTTTCTTTTACATGGCATCTGCAGAGTTCACTGGCCCTGTTCCGAGATAATGTGGGATGGGTTTTTTTGCTGTGGGAATTAAATGTCACTGGGGCACTCATAACAGCACATATGGAGTCAGAACAAGATGCTGAGAAGTCATCACTGCAGTGCTACACAGCACCAGCAGAGGGAGAGCACGGAGGGATCAAGCTGTGATGCTTAACATGTGTTTTTGCACCTTGTAAACGAATCTGGCCTGTCTGCCTCACTCGCTCACTTAATATCCATTGGCCAAGGTGTCTCTGATTCCTTCAGCTCTGATTTGGCTGCCGGTGTTGCCCTGGTGTTCACTGTATTTTGTGTGCTTCATGAAGCTGTGGCTCGGAACCTGCAGGGATTGTCACCCATTGTCGGTGATGTTCTGGGGGAGGCAGGCGGCGGGGGTGGTGTGCTGAAATGGTCACCTGCAGGCTAGTGAGGATAACGGGATGGACAGCAGGGCATGCAATGGTCTCTGTCCACCAACAGGAATGTGATGAGGGCAAAGTTTGCACATTTAGAAATAAAATTTTGCCACCTTTTTTCTTGCTAAAGCCCTGGCCTGGGAGCTTGCTAAGAGCTACTTGACTTTGGGTTTCCAAGGAGGAATTTTTAATTTCTATCTGCCTTCTGATTGGTACCCACAGAAAAGGAAAGTCAACCAAAACTTAAAAATCAAACCACATCCTTTCTCCCCTCTCCCTCCTCCTTTCAGTGCCCTCACAGATGTGGTTTGGTAAGTTAAAATTTATCTTAATGAATGCTAGAAGGGCAGCACAGGTTTTAGTCTGCTCTGGCTGCCGTAGTAGAATACTGTCGACTAGATGGCCTAAACAACAGAGATGCGTTTTCTCACAGTTCTCCAAGGCTAGAAGCCCAAGATCAAAGTGTAGGCAGGGTTGCTTTCTTCTGAGGCCTCTGTCCTTGGCTTGCAGACAGCCTCTCTATGTGCTCGCATGGTCTTGCCCCTTGGGTCTCCCTGTGTTCCAGTTTCCTCTGAGGACACCAGTCCGATTGGATGAGGGCCCACCCTAACAGCCTCATTTTAACCTAGTCACCTCGTTAAAGGCCCTGGCTCTCCCCAAATGCAGTCACATTCTGAGGTATTGGGAGGTAGGACTTTAACAAGAGAACTTGGTTGGTTGGGCAGGGGGGGCACAATTCAGCCCATAACAACAGTTTTAAGTGCATGAAAGCCCAGAGAAGCAACCACACTTTTCTTTTTCATTTAGACTTTGATGATAGCATGTTCGTTAAGACCTCAACTCCTGCGGAGTGGATTGCCCAGGGAGATTACTACGCCAAGCACCAGTGCTGGAAGGTAAGGGGCTGGACTAGGAGCCAGGGGATGGGGGGGTCCTTGTCACCGGTGCCCTCGTCAGACCTCACAGGCAGATTTCCCATTGTGGTGTCTGTCACCAGGACGGGATGAGGGTGACAGTGCTCATGCCCCGTGCTCTGAAACATCAGTTCACCTCAAGATAAGGAGAGCTTCCTATCCTGCTCCTTCCCTGGCCAGCACAGGGATGACAACTCTTCATTTTGGCCAAGTGCCAGGATGTGCTGATAGATCCATGGAGGGCTGTGGCCTTTGCCCCACCCAGGAATCCTTCTATATATTTTCTTTTCTTTTTTTTTTTTTTGAAATGGAGTTTTGCTCTTGTTGCCCAGGCTGGAGTGCAATGGCACTATCTTGGCTCACGGCAACCTCCCCCTTCTGGGTTTAAGTGATTCTCCTGCCTCGGCCTCCCAAGTAGCTGGGATTACAGGCATGTGCCACCATGCCCAGCTAATTTTGTATTTTTAGTAGAGATGAGGTTTCTCCATGTTGGTCAGGCTGGTCTCAAACTCTCGACCTCAGGTGATCCGCCCTCCTCGGCCTCCCAAAGTGCTGGGATTCCAGGTGTGAGCCACTGGGCCTGGCCCCTTCGATGTATTTCCTTTCCCTCCTGTCCTCTATAAACTAAAAGCTTTGCTATCATCATACTGCATTTTAAAGCAGTAACAGATTGATCTGTCATTCATTTTTTTCAAATTGATCAAGCAGATTTCATTGCCAATCTGAGTCTGGTGAATATAGGTTAAGCTTTATTATTAGAGCGCACTGACCAGTTTCCAGATACAAGCCGTATTACTAGTCCTGAGCAGTCTTCTTCCAGGAAGTGTTTTCTCTGCAGTAGAATTCTTGAAACTCTGAAACCAGATTAAAGAGCCGCATTGCTTTTCCCAGAGTCAGCATTCCTGCACATCACAGGGTCTCAGGTGAAGCACCATGGCTGGGATGTGTGTCTCTCTTGAAATGGTGGTGACCATTTCACCTGCAAGTTTTAAGCACCTTGCTAAAGGAGTGTTTTGTTTTGTTTTAATCTAATAACAAGAAATCAGATCTTAGGGTTGGTTCTGCAGTTCAGCAAAGTCAGCATGGGCCAGTCTCATTCCATCTCTTCCCTGTGTCATCTGCAGCTTGTCTGAGATGTTCCCCTTCATTGGCTGTCTAATGGCTGCAGCAGCAGCTCCAAGGACTCCATTCCCTCAGCAGCATTCCAAGCAGGAATGAAGTGCAGGCACTTTATTCTCATTGATCTCTCTCTCTTTCTCTCTCGTCATGAAGTCCTCAGTGGACTTCCTCCTATATCTCATTGGTCAGCACTAGGTCACATATGCCTTCCTAGCTGCAACGGAGTCTGGGAGAGCAATCCCATCCGGCAGTTGTAACCTTTTATGGAAGGCAAGTTCTGCCAAAACGCAAGAAAGAGAGGAGGAACTGCTGTGGGTAACTAACCAAGAATGTTTGACACCACAGGCCTGACCATACAAGATGCACATTTCCCTAAGATTTCTCTACCCCAGACACGTGGAGTGCCCCATGCATGCAGCTGCTGCTGATGTTTTCTGAAAGAACAACTGGAGCTGGGTTTTGTAAGAAAGATCACTTTCTTTCTTTCTACACCTTGGTGTTCATGTTAGGAGGCTCCAGCTCCTTGAATGTTAGAGGAAAAGTATCTGCAGTTTCTCTTGCCACTTTGGAACAAATGTTTTAAAGCAATGTTTTCTACGGAGGGCTTGTCCTGCTGCCTTAATGATCCTTCTTCTCATTGGAATTTCATGAAGTTGGGCCTGAGTAAAGGTACTGGAAAGTGATGAGGACAATGAAATCACAAGTTCAGGACTTAATGGAAGCCACAGTGTGAGGTATCTGTGATCTGGCATGACTGGAGAAGGAATTCGTAATGTTCACTCCCCCACCCCGCCTCAGATGGAGTCTTGCTCTGTTGCCCAGGCTGGAGTGCGGTGGCGCAGTCTCAGCTCACTGCAGCCTCTGCCTCTTGGGTTCAAGCAATTCTGTCTCAGCCTCCTGAGTGGCTGAGATTATAGGTGCCCATCGCCACACCCAGCTAATTTTTGTATTTTTACTAGAGACGGGGTTTCACCATCTTGGCCAGGCTGGTCTTGAACTCCTGACCTCATGATCCGCCTGCTTTGACCTCCCAAAGTGTTGGGATGACAGGCGTGAACCATTGTACCCGGCTCCCAGTGTTTTCTCAGCTCCAGTTCTTCGAAGAGTGGTTTGTCTGTTGTGCCAGGGAAGTTGCTTTAAGTCTGTAGCATGTAACTTAATCTGGGGTTTGTCAGATACTTCTTGCTGCACAACGATCCTGAGACATAGTAGCTTAACACACGTCATTTATGTGGCTCACGGTTCTATGGATTAGCAGTGTTGAGTTCAGCTGAGTGCTTCTGGTCTCAGCTGAGCCCCTCACGTGTCTGCAGTCAGCTGGGCAGGTCTGCCTCTGGGGGTTGGCTGGCTCTTGGCTTGGGGGATAGGGGTCATGGGGGTTCTTGAATCACATTTTCTTCCCTAGCAGGCTAGTCTGGGTTTGTTCACATGATGCCTGAGCAGGGTTAAAAGAAAGTGAACAGAAGCACACAAAGCCCCCGAGGCCTGGCCTTGGAACTGGCCCTGTGCCACTTCTGCTGAATTCTGTTGCCAAAGCAAGTCTCAGCCGAGACCGGACGGGAGGGCAAATAGGCAGTACTCTTGGTGGGAGTGGCACTTGTAAGGGGGTGTGGACAGATACAGGGAAGAGTGAAGGACTGTGGCCACCCTGGCAATGTGTTACACGGAGTGAAAGAAACAGAACTTACACTCTTACAGCTGTGGTTCTGTCTGGAAAGTACTTTCACAAGTATGTGCTGTTTAGCTGTAGAAGTTGACTGATCCCCACAATTTTATTCCTTGCCCGTCGTGTTAGAATTGGAAAGAAATACTGCACATTTGGCTGTCGTTATGAAACCAAGAAATTTTTCTTTTTTGGTGGGTCAGTGGAAGGGAGGGAAGGGAGGGATAATATGGGCAACAGGTATGGGTAGGAAATTGGAAATCGATATAAAATCTTACCCTTTATTCCCTGCAAAACGCTGTTGGTGTTGCCCATGGACGTTGCCCATGGATGTTTTAAAGCAATTCAAATATTCAAAAGGTATTTTTAAAGGGATAAAAAGCTTTATCCCTTTAAAAATACCTTTTGAATATTTGAATCTAAAATCTTTTTAGGGCAGCCGGCATAGATGAGAATGTTATTAAAAGCCTTCTCCTCACCTGACTTTGTTTTGACCCTGCTAAAGGACCTCAGGACTCAGTACAGTTTATTGAGTTTTTTGGTTTATTGAGTTTTTGGCTGCATGTCAATGAATGTTTCAGAACCACCACAGAAGATTCATTCATTCAACAAATACCTGTTGAGTTATGGGCTGAACGTTGTGTTGAGATCCCAGGAACCTGATGGTGAGCAAGACAGGCACAGGGACCAGTGCACAACTCCAGCTGCTGCAGGTGTCACAGATGAGAGACCAGTTGTCCCCAGAACCAACTCTCCTGGAAACAGATTTGGGAAGCCTTCTTTGAGGAACAGAGACTTGAACCGAAACCTGTAGAATGAATGAAGTTAACAAGACAGGGAAAGGACAGATGAGCACTTAAGTGAGAAGGAACAGTGTGTGCAAAGGCCCTGCAATGGGAAGGGGGATGGCACAGGTCGTGGGAACGAAAGGAGGCCCACACGAAGAGCATGAAGGAGAGAATGGTCATCCTGCCCACTTTATCAGCAAGTGCCACTTTTGCCTTCCTTGCCCACACTGAGACCTAATGTCTACATGCTGGGCAGAATGTGAACTTCCTGCCTATGTATCCTGTGCTTTGAGACATAGCATCAGTACCCCTGTTTTAGAAAAGCAGTTTTCTGCTTGCAACGATCAGGGTGCAGCCTGACTCTTCTGTGACATTTGTTTGCCTATCTTACAGTCAGAGGATTAGATTTGATAACACAGATCCGTATGCCCCAGGGATCTGGATGTGTTGTGATACCATCTCTGTCCCCATTTCTGCCTCTAGTATGTGTACTCCAGCTGTTCTGCCAACACTGCAGAGTAGCTGTTGTACTCACCAACTGGGTCAGGGCCCAGAAGAGCCACTGGGTAACTTTGGGCCAGTTGCTCTGTGGCTCAAGTGGCAACTGTATACAGTGAGAAGGATGAGACTTCTTGCTGTGGCTGTTAGAAGATTAAATAAGGGTGTTACTATGGTAGCTTGTAAAAATACGTATTCTGTACCTTTTCGATGGGTACTTCTAAAAGATATAGTGCTGGGTTTTATCCGCCAAGGCTGCTTTCTTTAGAATACCCGCATTTCCCTCTCAGATTGGGCTGGAGCAGGGCTTCATGTTTTGTCAGTACAAACTTATAACGCATGATTTAACTCCTGTTATGTCTGTTACCTCCATTACCTTGCTGGGAATAAAACGTTTTGCCTGTTCCAGGTTGCAGCCAAGTGTTACCAGAAAGGAGGTGCATTTGAGAAGGAGAAGTTGGCTCTGGCCCATGACACTGCCCTGAGCATGAAATCCAAGAAAGTCAGCCCCAAGTAAGAGTCATGGGTTCATTTCTGGTCTGCTCCGATGAGAGCAGCAGTTTAAATATCGGCGTTGGGTCAACATTCTGTGGAAATATTATTATTATTTCCTTCCCCTAGGGAAAAGCAGTTGGGATATTTGGAATTGGCTAAAACCTATTTGGAATGCAATGAGCCAACACTGTCCCTTAAGTGTCTGAGCTACGCCAAGGAGTTCCAGCTGTCTGCCCAGCTGTGCGAGAGGCTGGGAAAGGTATGGCTTCTAGTCCGTGGCTGCTCTGGGGAAAACTGGGCTTCACTTGAGCAGATTGAGGGGTGGGCCCCTCAACCTCTACTCATAGCAGGAAGAGGCTGCAGTCTTCTAAGGAGGTAGACGCTGGCCCTGCGACTCTTCGGGAACCCTACTTTCCCTACTTGTGCAAACTTTTAGGAGGCTCTGAAGACTGTGTGCTTGCACGTGCGTGTGTTTATGTGTTCATGTCCCTGTTAATATTCAAGGTGCTAATATTAAGCACTGGGAAGCCAGATGCTCAAGCCAAAGGGACAGAAGGCTTTTAGAATGCCCCTTTCTTTCTGTGTTCCTAGTCTTCAGTCAGCTTGGCTGAGTGGCCTGGCGTTTACATGGAAGTTTTTCCTGTAAGCCTAGTAATCACACTAGGTCTCAACTGTCCAGTTCAGCAGGCACATGCGGTTATGTAATTTACAATTTAAATTATTTAAAATGTAATCATATTAAAAATTCACATCCTCAGTGTTCATAGCCACATCACAAGTGCTGTTGTTACAGAACGTTTCCATCATTGCAGAGAGCTCTGTTGGACCGAGCTGCTGGTCTGGAACACAGCTACTCACAGAGCGGGCAGCAGGCCACACACTATTACTTGTCTGTAGCAGGGTTAACACGGAAGATGAAAGGACGCAGTTAGAAATGTTTCGGCATTGCTTTGACATCCAAGTGGTGATAATTTTCTCATCAACATATCGACTGTGATGGATTGGAAATTTAAAATAATTTGGTCCCTTACCACAGGTAGTGGGAGAAACTGTGCTTAAGGAGCTGTGGGCCATTTCATTTCCCCCTATCGGTTGTTACTGCCCTTCAGTAGGAAAGGGGGTTTCCTTGTCTGTATGTGAAATATGGTGACTCCTGGGATCCTAAGAGCACCCTGGGCATTGCAAGGGGTAGGAGTGGGACCTCCTGGGACATTGGAAGTGTGGCCCCAAGTCCAGGTGCCCTGACGATGCCTATCCTGTTCCATGTTTATTATGGGATGTGACTTCTTAGGATATGGAAGATGGGACTGGAACAGGGACACAGCGCTGCCCTCTGGGGGCAAGAAGCAGGCAAGGCATAGGAATCCCTGAATGGAAGGCTTTCACTCTTGTGGCACCTGCATAAACATTTCTTCCCGTGGGTAGAATGCATCTGGGGACTGGGAAAAGGGAGGTGATGTGGCCTGAGGATCCAGAGGAAGGCTGCTGCCAAGTTGCTTGATTTGAGTCTTGCCAGTCAATTTGGGTGAGATGACCACAGGAAATGGTAAATGATAAGAGAAAGTGGCAGGGTCAGATCGGTAGGGCCTTGGTGACTGTGGCAAGGACTGGGCTTTGTTCAAGCATGATGGGGAGCCGGTGGAAGGCTTTGATGGGAAGAGTGACGTGAAGCTAATTATCTGGATGCTCTGTGAAGACGTCTATAAGGCAGCAAGAGCTGAAGCAGAAAGGCCAGTTAGAGTCTAGCATCAGCTTAGGCTGAGATCATAGGGCCTGGACTACCATGGTGGTGGTGCAGGTGGTGGGATGGGGGCAATGATCTGGGAAATGTTAAGGAAACTGAGCAGATGGGATTAGCTAATAAACTGGATGGGAACTGTGATAGGAAGAAGAGTCTAGTAAACTCTTCTGTTCGTGGCAAGCCCACCATTGGTGCGTATGGGACCCACTCATTGCATTTTATTTCATCCATCCTCTTCTTCATAGCTAGTCTCTATTCTCATTCTTTTCTCATTGGCTATATATATATGTGTGTGTGTGTATACATGTATATATATGTACATGTATATATGGGTATATATATGTATATAATATATATGTGTATATATAGATGCTCAAATGCATGCATTATTGAAGAATGAATACTGATATCTTCTATACATACGTACTTTAGACTTATCTAGAAGACCTCTTGCTCTGTGTTTTACCTTTTTCATCCTCTGCTATGTAGTATTAGTTCTGGCCATGCTTCTGGCAGCTGTGTGTTCCAGAGTGGGCACCACTGCATTGACAAATTCATTTCCCTAGTGATGCACATCCAGGTTGCCACTGCCCCCTGGCTTTGCTTCCACACACAGCATCTTGGCACAGCATGTCTTCTTACAGTTCTGTGAGATACTTTCTTGAGATGTATTTCCAGAAGGAGGCTTGCTGACCTAGGGTATGCACATGCTTCACGTACTTCACTAAGTACGGCCCCTTTGCTTTCCAGAATGGCCATTACACTTTGTGCACGAGAGTTCTGCATACCCCACATTCTTGACCACAGTCAGCAGGTTCTGATTTTCTAATTTTTCAAACCTGGTGGATGTATTTCTTTTTCTTTTTTTTTTTTTTGAGACGGAGTTTTTCTCTTGTTACCCAGGCTGGAGTGCAATGGCGTGATCTCGGCTCACTGCAACCTCCGCCTCCTGGGTTCAGGCAATTCTCCTGCCTCAGCCTCCTGAGTAGCTGGGATTACAGGCACGCGCCACCATGCCCAGCTAATTTTTTGTATTTTTAGTAGAGACGGGGTTTCACCATGTTGACCAGGATGGTCTTGATCTGTTGACCTCGTGATCCACCTGCCTTGGCTTCCCAAAGTGCTGGGATTACAGGTGTGAGCCACCGCGCCCAGCCCTGTATTTCAAGGTGGCTTTAACTTGTATTCTTCTGATTGTCAGTAAAGTTGAGAACTTTTATTTATCTGTTAGTCAGTCAAGTTTACCCAACAGTAAGCTGCCAGTTTATATCCTTTGCCAAGCTTTCTGTTCTGTCTCTAGGAAAGTCTTTTTCTTGTGGTTGCAAAAATTCTTTTTGTCTAGACAGGCCCAGTCTAGTACAGTAGCTATTAGCCAGGTGCAACACTTTAACTTTAAAATAATTAAAGTTAAATTACATTAAAAGTTTAGTTCGTTGGTTGGGTTGCCCACATTTTAAAGGCTCAGTATTCAGATGTGACTAATGACTAGATTGGATAGCACAGAAACAATACAGTTTCATCTTCACAGAAACTTCTATTGGACAGTACTGATCTAGATGTTACTGTTATTTTTTATTTAGTTTATTTCCTGTGTCTTTTGTTGAACAGTTTTGATGTGGTTAAATCCATCAGTTTTTCTCCTGAAATTTGTGTTTTGGATTTTATTGATTACTTTATTTTTGGAAGTCATGTGAAGACTCCTTCCACTTGAGTGTGACCTCAAGGTCACAGAGATTCTCACACGTTTTCACACAATAATTTTCTCACTTAGATCTTTGATCTACCTGGGGCTTACCTTAGTGTATAGCGTGAGGTTGGGATTTAACTTTATTTTTCTCCCTTTAAATAATTGGTTTTCCTAATATTATCTATGTTATAGGGCTTTTAACTGGATTCTAACAAAAGCAGACATGTGACTATCCTTTTTATTATTCATGGTGTTGCTTTAAGATTAGAAAGTTAATTGTGAATACGCTAAATAAAAGTAAAATTTTACTCCATCCTAGATAAGGGATGCTGCCTATTTCTATAAGCGATGCCAGTGCTACAAAGATGCTTTCAGATGCTTTGAGCAGATTCAGGAATTTGATCTAGCACTCAAAATGTACTGCCAAGAGGAGCTTTTTGAAGAAGCTGCTATTGCAGTGGAAAAGTAGGTGGTTTTATTCTCTCCCTTTCTCCCTTCCTCCCTCCCACTTGTCTCTGGGGGCAGCCTGCTCTGGGTGGTGCTATCCTGCTGCTTCTGATATGGCTTGACCGCGTTGCTCTCCTTCCACTTAAGCGGTGGCCTCAGTGCTGGGTCAGCAGCTCCTTCAGAGCAGGATTTTGTGTTTTCCAGTCTTTATAAACTTTGACGCAGTGTCACAAGGAGAAGGGGCTGAGGAGGATGGGGGTATGTTATGAGTGTGTATGTAACGACATATTCTGACTTCCATTAGCAGAATAAAGGGGAGTCCTTCAGAGCTTCATTAATCTCATAGGAACCCAACTAATGCACACCTACTAAAAGAGCAGAATCACAAGTGGTAATAAGGGGAAGACTGATGTAGGGTAGTGTTGGCGTGTGTGCAGCCCTCGTTTCATCCTTTTTCATTCATCACATATCAAACTGAACAGAGTTGTAGACCCAAATGATTATGATGCTTTTATGAGAACTGAAGAGATGTCTTTCAAGGATAATTTTGACTATATATAACATTTGCTCTATAGATTGATTCTCAGATTTCACTCCTACTTGTACGAATTACATCCTCACTATATTTCATTAATTAAGCACATTGGTTCCTGATTGAAGCATAGTTTATTTACTATTATCATACTGATAATAATATAAAATAAGGCCTTTCTAAAAATACTTGAATGCTTGACAAGTGTAGGTTTTATTTTGTAATATCTGCATACGGGAGTTTTATTTAAGTTGCTCTGTGCGGTGTTTTGGAGGAAATTTTCTATTGATTGGGTGATGCCAACTTGACATTTGCGTCCTTTGTCTTTGCAGGTATGAAGAAATGCTGAAGACCAAGACCCTTCCCATCTCCAAGCTCTCCTATTCTGCCAGTCAGTTTTACTTGGAGGCTGCAGCAAAGTATCTGAGTGCAAATAAGATGAAGGAAATGATGGCTGTCCTCTCGAAGCTGGACACGGAAGACCAGCTGGTGTTCCTGAAGTCTCGGAAACGCTTAGCAGAAGCTGCAGACCTGCTGAACAGGGAAGGGAGGAGAGAAGAGGCCGCCCTGCTCATGAAGCAACATGGCTGCCTCCTGGAGGCTGCCAGGCTCACTGCCGACAAGGACTTCCAGGCCTCATGTCTGCTGGGGGCTGCCCGCCTCAATGTGGCCAGGGATTCCGACATAGAGCACACCAAGGACATTCTGAGAGAAGCACTTGATCTCTGCTATCAAACCGGCCAGTTGTCTGGCATTGCTGAGGCCCACTTCCTGCAAGGGGTAATTCTGAGAGACTTTCAGAAGCTCAGAGACGCCTTCTTCAAGTTTGACACACTCAACCACTCGGCTGGAGTGGTGGAAGCACTCTACGAAGCAGCCAGCCACTGTGAGGCCGAGTCTGAGAAGGTTCTGGCCCTGGCTCCAGGGGGCTTGGAAATCCTTCTCAATCTGGTCAGGGCCCTCAAAAGAGTGACCAACAATGCTGAGAAGGAAATGGTCAAATCTTGCTTTGAGTTTTTTGGGATTTCCCAGGTGGATGCCAAGTATTGCCAGATAGCCCAGAACGACCCGGGGCCCATATTAAGAATCATTTTTGACCTGGATTTGAACTTGAGAGAGAAGAAAACAAAAGATCATTTTTTGATAATGACTGACCAAGTGAAATTAGCCCTAAACAAACACCTTTTGGGCAGGCTTTGTCAGATCACACAGAGCCTACTTGGGAAGACCTACCGAGGAGTCTGCATGAGGTTTATTGTAGGCTTAAAATGTGAAGATGAAAACTGTGAACATTTTCACAGGCCTGTGCGGCGTTGTGAAGCCAAGTGTTTAGTTCAGTCGAAAATGAACTTGGTGGCAATCAATGGGTTGCTTTTGGAAGCCAAAAAAGTATTCCCTAAAATCTTAGCAGAAGAACTTAAAGAAATTGATTATATTTTGTCTACAGATACGTATTGCAGATCCATTCTGGATGTCCTTTTCCCTAAACATTTCCATCAGAGAGTGTTGTCAGAAAACCCCATGGCATGCAAAGAAATCCTCCAACCAAATTACAAATCCTTTCGGTCCTACAGATTAGCTTTGAAAGAGTACATCCACTTTCTGTTTGAAAACGAAAGCGCGCGCAGCCGCCGGGAATCCACAGACCTGTGGCTGAGTGCCATGCAAGCTTTCCTTCTCTCTTCCAGCTACCCGGAGGAGTTTGAAAAACTGCTCCACCAGGAGGAGGACAGCTACAACAGGGAACTCAAAGCTCTACAGTCCGAAAAAGACGAAAGGGGCCGGGGGAGAGGCAGCCGGATAAAAGGAGTAGAAGGGAAATCTGGCATGCTGGCACCCAACAAGGATGATGGAAATATGGACAAGACCCACCTGTGCTTCATCCGGCTGCTGGAGAATAGCATTGATCAATTCTACGTGCACAGGAACCCAGAAGACTACAAGTGGCTCTTTTTCCGTTTCATGAATGTCCTCATCAAGAGGTGCAAAGAACCGCTCATCCCCAGCATTGGAAACACAGTGGCCCTCCTGGAGTTCCAGTTCATCCACTGTGGGGTGGTGCTGGCCCGCCTCCGGAAGAATGTCATTCTGTGCCTCCCCAAGAGCTACATTGCCCTCTTACACTACTGGGAGTTCCTGTTTAGCAAGAAGGATAAGGAGCTTGGGGATGTGTTCTCCATCATTCAGGACTACAAACCGAAGGACGTGACAAGAGCCATTCAGGATTTCCGGTTCCACCTCTCCTACCTTGCCAAGGTGCTGTGTGGCTGTGAGAATGTGAACTTCAATGTCCTGCTTGATGCCTTCAGTGAAATAGACTATGTGGTCTCGGGCGAGGCTGAGCGGACGCTGGTGCTGTGCTTGGTGATGCTAGTGAACGCTGAGGAGGTCCTGCAGCCGTATTGCAAGCCTCTCCTGTACGGCCACTTCCAGGAGATCGAGTCAAGGCTGCAGCTCATGAGCAGGGCCTGCCCTGGCCAGGTTCCTGAGAGGCTTCTGAAGGTGGTGAGGCGGGTGTTGGTGGCAGTCAATGTGAAGTCTGTGGCTGAGGCGCTGCAGGACCTGCTCTTTGAGCGGGATGAAGAGTACCTGATGGACTGTGATTGGCGGTGGGACCCCGTGCACACCAAAGGGTCCATGGTCCGTGGCCTCTATTATGAAGAGGTCAGACTCAACCGCCTGCTCTGTTTGGAACCCGTGGACTACTTTGCTGAACCTGAGTGTGATTTTGGCCAGGATGAGATGGATGAACTGGCATTAGAAGACCGAGACCATGTCTTGGCCACCATCCTTTCCCAAAAGCAACGTAAGGCCTCCATCCAACGGAAGTTGAGGAGGGCATGCCTGGTGGTATCTCTGTGTATCAGTTGGAGGAGAAGAGTGGGGACCCAGATGGAGCGTGTCAGGGAGGAGGCCAGGGAGCCCGGGGCTGGGAACTTCAAAAAGGCGGATGTGGATAGGACCCAGTGTGACCTGTGTGGAGTGAAGTTTACCCGTGGCCCAGAGAACTACTTCAGCTCCAGCAAAGCATTTGAGGGGGCAGCTTCAGAGGTGGCTGTCCTTTCTGGGGCTGAGCTGGAAGGGAAGGAGTGTCAGGAGAGGAACAGCGAGTCGTACGAGCAGCACATCCATCTAGAACACCACCAGAGGCAGCAAGTGGCCTACCAGAAATACTCAGAATTTTTCCATGAGAAGGTGGACCCCGCCATCGATGAAGGCAAGCTGGTGGTGCAGGACATCGAGCAAAGCGTATGGATCCACAGTCACGTGGGCTCCAAGGAGCACAGCCACATGCTGCAGAGGAAGGTCCAGGAGCACATCAAGAGGGTTTCGGATATGGTGGAGGACCTCTACAGGCGGAAGGCCTGGACTGGCGGTAAGGGCATGCAGAGATGGGGACCAGGTGGGGTTAGACCTGGGCTCTGAGGACATTTCTCAGGGTTAAGTCCCTTGTAGTGGCTTTGGACCTGGGGGTGGTGGAATCTTGGCCTTAGAAGAAATAAAAATGAGAAATGTATGTTCTAAGGTTATAGCAAACCTCATTGTTTGGATAACCCCTCCCCCAGTTAAAAGTTTGTGATTATCCTTGACTTGGGATAGTCACCCCAGGTACTCCAGATTAGAAAACAGTTTGCTAATTCTGTGGAGAACATATAGAGAGAATGTTTGGAGTGTTGAGAAGACTCATTAAGGTTCTCCTGACCCATGCATCCCCTGAGTAAGACCTGGAAGTGTGTAACTGTTTTCTTTCTTTTAGGAGGGTCCTTAAGTTATACCTAGTGTGAGTCTTTAATAGAATTCTTATGTTATTCTAGAATCACATTTTCCCTGGCTTTTTTTTTTTGCAAGACAGAGTCTCACTCTATCGCCCAGGCTGATGTGTGGTCGTGTGATCATGGCTCACTGCAAACTCCACTTCCTGGGTTCAAGCAATTCTCCTGCCTCAGCCTCTCGAGTAGCTGGGATTGCAGGTGCCCACCACCATACATGGCTAATTTTTGTATTTTTAGTAGAGATGGGGTTTTACCATCTTGGCCAGGCTGGTCTCGAACTCCTGACCTCAGGTCATCTTCCCACCTCGGCCTCCCAAGGTACTGGGATTACAGTTCCCTGGCTTTCTTACTAGCTACTTCTTAGCAACAATAAGTGGAAGCTATGTATAAACTTAGTGAAATTGCGTATTTAAAAACATTCCATATTTCAGATACTCTTTCCCGTCTAGGGTTTAATGACATTTTGGTCACAAGTGTCTTAGAAAGGTTTGCAGTTGTGTGGCAGTCTGTATAGACATACAGTAATGGCGTCAGGCTAGCCTGTAGTTTATACTTGTGGCAGCAGAAGGCAGCTCTGGAAGGTCCCTTACCCCGTAAAGAGGGCTCTTTTCAGGGAAAGCACAGAGACCAGCTCTTGGGATGTGTGGGCTTTAGCTCTAGTAATCGGCATTCTAGACCTTTCAATGGCATCTTTACTCAGAGCCCCGTTCTTTGGTTTCTGTAGCGGAGGAGGCGATGACTCAGCTGGCCAACATTCTGATCCTGTCAGTCAGGGCTGCACGAGACTGGTTGATGAAAACGGAGGTCCGCTTAAAGGAGGAAGGTAAGGAGTCTTGGATTCTGGGGACAGGTAACACTTTGGGTCCTGTGGTTCTTATTACCGCTGGCTCCCAGGGGGAATCTGAAGTGGAGCAGTGCGGTGATGTCAGTAGTGGACTCTGACTGTCTAGTAGCATCACTTCCAGTGACTCAAATTACTAGCAACCTAATATTGGAGTTATCCTATCTGACTATGAGGGCCATTATTCTGGGCACGGGTTAGTTGCCGTAAACCTCTTGCTGCTCATGAGCTATTACTGACGCTCAGTCACTGCACATACTCAATACAGTGACTTCCGAGGATGGGTGAAGCTTTGGGAAGCTATTCCTTGAGAAGTGTTTTCCTGTGTCAATCAGTCATTTAAGCCGATGGACAGTTATGGAGTTTCTAATATATATTAGTGCTGTTCTGGGCCTGGGGATGTACTTCTGAACAAAACGGTCAGTCACTGGGGAAACTTGCATGCTGCTTCCTATAGAGGGTTAAAAGCTTGTGTAGAATGAATGGCTTTCTCTCCTGGCAGTCAGAATGATCTTGCCAAGTTATATGTGCCAAGTTATATGTGTCTTTCCTTTTGCGCATTCCAGCCACCGGACCATATTCCCTTTTGCTCTGGGTATTTCATCAATCCCAGATGCCCCTGGAAAATCCAGACCCCAGAGGTGGGGAAAACTTGAAGGGACTTGGCACAAATATCTGGGCGATAAAAGATCTTTAGCATTGAGTCCCTTCTGGGGTCCAGGATTTTGTGATTATTTCAAAAGGAAGGTAATTGGTATACCGATTCAAGTGTATGGTTGAGTTTATGTTTTGCTTGATTTCTTTGTTATTTAAAAGGCCTCTATAATAGGGCCAGAGGAGCAGCCAGTAAAAGAACTTAATTCTGGAGAGGGGTGTTTACTTTGATTCTTCTTGGGAAGCAACATCAGTATTCTAAGGAAATCTCTCTTTCTCTGGCACCCTGGCAGGAAGCTTGATTTCATTAATTTAAACCAGTGGTTACAGAGACACTAGGTTTTACTCGGATGCTGTATTTCATAGTGGAGTGGGTAAAAAAATCACCATTCTGGACTTTCTTTGTTCTTTTTTTTCTTCTTTTAAACAGGAATCGTTCAGGAAGATGATTATGAAAATGAGGTTGAAGACTTTGGTGAGCTTCGTCCTAGAAGGCGTTCTCGGAAATGTGGAAAGCTGAAAAAGTACTAATGTCCACACTGCTGCTGCCTCCTCATCCTTCGGAACATTCCATTCTGACTTAGAATCCTGAGTGCTGGGGCAGAAGACAAAAAGAATGTGAATTAGCATTTTAAAAAGTAGGGGAGTCTGACAACACCATTGCTTTTTGTTCTCATTATTCTCTTTCAGTGGCTTAGGGTCTGATTGCTCCCTCACCTGCAAGGACCTCTAAAGTGTTGCCAAGTAGATTGTAGCAGTACTGGTTCTCCCCACAAACAAGTTCAGGTAGAGGAGTTGTATTTGAGGGGAATGTTTGGGACTCCTCATTCCATGGTCCTTGGGCCGTCTGGCTATCCCCATCACGACCTGAGTCAGTAGCAGAGGACTAGGTGTTAAGACAGACATTCCTCACCTCAGAGTCGCTGCTGCTCTGGGCCAGGAAATCTCTTTTATGGATTCCCTCATCCCCGGCTACACTGCTACAGCATCAAGTGTGCTGTGAGAGCCGTGTGTGCCCAGGGGTGGGCCTACCACTGGCCACCAGGCCACATGCTAGTCATCTCTGGGCCCATTTGTAGTGTAGTTTTTTCTGTTAGAGACGTTAGCCTTTTCTCTCTGTGGCAACTTTTCTGCCTCACCTCCCTCTGTTTTTTGTGACTCATTCTTAGCTACCTGTGCAAGTCACAGTTAGACTACCTCAGAATGTAGTCAAGAATTCACCCAGTGTTCTTTGCATGTCCCTTCCCTAGAGGGAAAGGCTGGGGAATGCTGGGAGCAGTCCCAGCTGCCTCTCCAAAGTGGTCCTAATTCTGCCTTGGCTATGGTCCAGACCTTCCAAAAAGTGTTCTGTATACAGCCTAGTCTAGTTTTGTTGGTTCACGCTGGTGAGTTTGCCATCCTAGCTTAGGTTAACATTCTGATGACTTTCTGCTTGCTGAATTAATCACTGTAGGACAGTGACCTGCAGAGCTGCAGGTTAGAGCAAGTGGACAGAGGAGACAGCCAGCCGAGCCAACTCTGTCACTGCCACGTGGCTGGCAGGCCCTATAAGAGGGTGAGTCTGGGCCTGTTTGTAGGAGGTCGTTGCTTACCCTCTCCCCACGCTGAGTCAGCAGCCATCAGCGTGGTCCCACCTGGGAAGCCTTCATGCCTCTCTGAGTGTTACTGCCCATCCTTACCCCAGCCCTCAGCTCAGCCTGGTGTGAAAGACCAGGTGCACACTGGTCTTTGATTGACAGCAGAACCAGCCCCGCCCCCCACCCCACCCCCGTTGCTGCTGCTTTTGCTGCTCATGCTGCTCATTGTTTTCTTTCTCTTCTTGTCTTTCCAAATTGTTTCCTTGAAATGCTTGTTTCTAAATTTTCTTAAATTATGTTTCTAATTTTTTAAATTCCAGGTGTATTTTTTTTTACTTGACAGAAAAAAAAAAGAAAACCTTAATAATATCTTGCTGTATAATCACATTTTTTATAAAGTTAAAGCATTTCTCTTACCTGCTGGTGTTTCGTTGTTTATTTCCAGTCTCTACTCGGAGAGTAAGGGGTAAATCTGGGAGCTGGTGCCTCTGGTCAGCCGATTGATATTGGCCAGGACGAAGCTTTCTGTGCCTTCAGAGATTCAGAAATCAAGGGACAGCTGGGCACGGTGGCTCACGCCTATAATCCAGCACTTTGGGAGGCCGAGGTGGGTGGATCATGAGGTCAAGAGATTGAGACCCTCCTGGTCGACAAGGTGAAACCCCGTCTCTACTAAAAATACAAAAATTAGCTGGGCATGGTGGCATGTGCCTGTAGTCCCAGCTACTCGGGAGGCTGAGGCAGGAGAATTGCTTGAACCAAGAAGGCGGAGGTTGCAGTGAGCTGAGCTCGTGCCATTGAACTCCAGTCTGGGTAACAACAGCGAAACTCCATCTCAAAAAAAAAAAAAAAAAAAAAAAAAAATCAAGGGACAGAGAAAAAAAGCCTAGTCCAGGACTCCCAGCTGGTTGCTGTTCTCGAGGTCCCATTTCATGCACATTCTTTCCAATCTGGGTGCTCCCAAGCATGCGTGGTTTGGACAGTAAGGAGTTTTGTCTGTACCATGTACTGGGACTTTCCCAACAAGGAATGTTGCCCTGGAAGGCAGGAGGTCTGGAATCAAATCCGTCTCCTGTTCCTAACGAGCTGTGGAATGCCAGGTGAGTCAGGTCTATTCAACCCTGAGCACCTTCATGCCACACTACGTAGGAGCCTCATGATCTGCTGTAGGACAGAGATGGAAATGTGAGAAAAGAGTGGTGATAGACGTGTGTATTGCGTGGGTGGTGAACGCATTTACATAACCCAGCCGGGCCTCAGTTTCCCCTTTTGGGAAAGTGGTGTATGGTCGCTTTCTGCCTGTCGCAGCGTGGTTCTGTAAGCTGCTGTGTGGTTTTGAGTACCCTTTAGTCTTGGGGCCATGATGCCTGTGTTTCTCGTGTCAGCTGAGCAGGACAGCTGAGTCTTAGCAAGCAAAGCATCTGATCTTACCCTTCGAAATTCAGGAGGCTCAGAAATGCGACGCGTGATCCTGCTGCCGTCTTTGTCAGCACTGTCCCGCAGAACTACCTGAGAGAGCCACCCCCAAGAGGCTGACTCCTCAGCTCGTAAGGCCCCTTAGAGTGAGGCTGTGGACGTTGCGAGAGAAGAATGGAATTCAGCAGAAGGGTCAGTAACTTCCCTTCATGACCCGAATCCTGGGCCCAGTTCAGTAGCAGTGGCTTTGGTGTCCTGGACTTGCCTGGAAGTCCAGGATGGAGGATGTATATCTGAGGTCCCCCAAAACCACCACTGTCAGGTTTGGTCATTCATTAAGAGGGCTCACAGGACTCAGCATGAAGCTGGAGTCCTGGCTCTGATTATTATAGCAAAGTCATACCCAGCACAATCAGCAAAGGGAAAGGCCCATGGTGCCAAGTGTAGGGGACACCAGGTGTAAGCTTCCAGGGCTCCTTCCAGAGTCACACACAGTAGGCTTCATTTCCTAGCAATGAGTTGTGACAACTTGCTGTGTGAAATATGCCAACCAGGGGAGCACATCAGAGACTCAGAGCTCAGAGTTTCTACTAGGGGCTGGTCATGGGTATCTTCTGCCTAGCACATACCAAAGTTCCAGAGTCATAGGAAAAAAAGCAGTGTTCAGCGTACACCACATTGTTTATGCAAGCCCCTTAGGCACTGTGAGCCAATTAGTCAGTTCTGGGGGTGATGGGAGCCGTGTTGAAATCCAAGTTTCCGGACTCAATAAGCAGACCTTTCAAAGGGCAGCAGTTAGGCCTACTGTGCCGTTTTCTGTCCAGAGTCATTCCCAGTGGATGGTACAGCACAGGCTGCACTGCTCCCACCATTGCCAGCTTTACTCTCTAGCACCCTCAGCCTTCACTACCCTGAGTATTGTGGTTTACATGCAGGAATCCCATCCCCTGCACCACTTCTCCCAAGCCAAGGGCTAAAGATACTGTAATTCACCTTTTCCTGGGCAGCCTGCCTGTGTTTCCCTGGAGTGGTTACTTGTAGTCCAAAATGAGCCCCAGGTTTGCTGAACACCCTGGCCAGCACCAACCAGCATGAGCTCTGGGTGATTTACAGCTTATGTTACACCTGCTCTCAGATAGTGTGGAAAGAGGAAACGCTAGTGTTCATTGGTTCGGGCTGTCTCCAAGGTCTCCCACTGGCGGCCAGAGTGCATCAGCTGTTAATCTCTGCAGTGCTGTCGAAGAGACTCTTCTGGGCTCCTCCCAAGGGGCTGAGTTCAGTGCTGCCAGATGGCTCACAGTTTGTGGGGATGTGAGAAGGATGAGGCTGGCAGATGGACGGGGCTTGTACTTCTCACTTCAGAGCTCTCAGAAAGGGCCCTCCAGGCCGGACAGGAGGATGACTCCTGTGGCCAAAGAAAATGACCAGGGCTATAAATATCCAATCTTGAATCTCAACAAAGCAACTTCCAGGTGTTACCTTATATACATGTGAGGCATTCCATTTTATTGTAAATGTTAATGGGATTGGATATGAGCTTCCTGTTTCCTTCTGATTTCAGTATGGCTTGATAATGTTGGGGTCTAACGGTCGTGTAATACATGCGAATCTCAGTTGTGCAAGAAATGTCACATTTTATTTAAATTAATTCAAGTCCTGCTCTGGGCCCTGTTCCTACTTTGGTGGGAAATGTGGCCTAAGTCATTATTGAAGGACCCTCTGGTTCTTTGGGATCTCTGAAGTATTTTAGGAGGCTAATGTGGTATGGGGAAAATGAGGGAGGCCCTGTCTCCTTCAGTTCATCATGGCTGCTACGAACCCGCTCCTGTCCCAGCTGATAGGGTATCTGAGAACATGGGTGATTCTTTTCCTTCTAAGCCAGGCTTGTCATTTACCTCCCATGTGCACTTTGGCAACTACCTGGTAGTGCAGGCCTTCACCAGCGCTGAGACTTAGTTGCTGAACAAGCTGCTGGAGGGGTGGGTCCCTCTTATCGCTGTTACATGGTTTTTCCCACTCGTCTCCTGGGTTGTGGTTCCCCTGGGCCACTCGCAGCCAACACTTCTGGCTGTCACACATAGCAGGCCCACCCCTAACGTTTGTGAGGTCTGGGGTAAGAATGCAGTGTCTTCTCCCCTGCTCCTCCTCTTCCCATCCTTTGCTTTGTCCTACAGCATGCACGGCCTCTCTGGCATGTGTGGGAACATCTCAGCCATATATCCAAACTCATTTCATGTCTGCACCCCCTCTTCCCTAACCAGCCATGCTTGGCCTCCGCTTGGGCCCAGTACATCAGTGGCTCAGGGCTCTTTGGACACAGGGCTCCTGGGTGCCGAAATGTGATTGGTGGGGGCCTTGGATATGTACTTTTATTGCAAGTCTGGGACACAATATATAGCAAATGACACAGCATAGTGCTACTCTCCTTGTGCATTTAACTCCTTCAGGGTCCTTGCAGGACAAGAAGGCATTTCATAGATTCTGTACCCACAACCATCATCATCTGCTCAACGCCCGACATTTCTCTCCCATGCTCCCTCCCTCTCTCACACACACATACAATAAAATAAATACAATAATAAATTCTCCCTGGCCTTCTCCAGTAGCCTAATCTGGCATCTGGGATGCCTTAAACATGTTCCTGGATCAATACCATGTAGCTGCCAGAAACCTGTGTCCCAGGTCATCTGTAAGTTCATGATTCAGAGGATGGGGTAAATCAATTCAGTGGGAAATTGTTCTCCTGTCTGCCACAAATATCTCTTTTAAGACAGTGAAGACTGACTTCCCCTGATCTTGTCACTCTAAATCTGCGTCAGAGATTTCGACTGTAGAACAAAAGCCCAGGTGGGCACATGAGGCGCCATCTCCCCCCTTCCCCCAACAACCATCATAATAGTGCAAAGCTTGAGAAGAGTTCACTGGAAAATGCGTTTAACCTGATAGATTCTAATTCCTTTTGGTAGCAGAGAAATCAGGCCTGCCAACAACAGACAGCTGAACCTTACTCCCACCCACCACCCAGGAAAATACATTTCTCTACTCAGTAAGGAGGAGGGAGAAGCCATCAGCAAGGTACCAGGCGTTCTTGAGGTGGGTTGCTGTTTAGAAGCCTGATGCTGCAGAATTCTAGCCCTGTTAAGAACTTTATGTCCTCTGTTTAAGGCTCAGGCATCTTAACTCTTCTCATGGATGATGTGACCTGAATATCTGATAGGACATTTTGGGGGGATGGGCTGCAATGGGGAATAGGGTACTGTCATCACAGTATTTTTGGAGTAAGATCTAAGATTAAAATTTGGCTTCTCATACTGTGAATTCAGACACCTTACTTAAATTCTCTGAGCTCCTTTGGGAGTTTATAAAATGGAAATAATGGCACACACTGTAGCTTGGTTGTAATTGCATTGTTCTCCCTCCGTCTTACTTCTGTTTCATAGATGGACCAAGAATGTGAAAAGATTTCAGGCAGGTTCTGTTTCCACGGTGGCAGAGAGAGTCAGGATCGACGAGGAGGCCTGGGCCACGCGTAGCAGCTTTGCGTGCCCTCTGTGGAGGTGGGAGCTTTTCTAAGAGGGCTTTGTTCCAGGGACCCAGCCTTCTTTTAGAGACTGAAACTATTTTTAACTCAAGTTTTAGTGATTCTGTAGGACAGCTGTTTCAGGGAAATATGTAGGCCAGTCTGTGATTTTTGGAGTCATCATTTTAAGGTTAGGGAGTGGGAAGGGGGAAGAGAACCAGAATAACTCCTGAGTTTCTGGAGGCATCGGGAGAGCTGCACCTACCTTGCAGAAAGCTGAATCCAGTTAGCTTTGTGACCACTCCTGAGGGTCAGGACAGAGCTGAGCAAACATTCTTTTGTTATACTTCAAGTAAAGTGTATCAGTTTCTGCCCACTTTCTCTCCTTTTCGCTATTACCAAATCATGATGGAGAAAAGATGGACAAGAAAGGCCCCCACACACTGTAATGTAATGGCTTAGAAGGAAAAGAATCACCCA